AGAGGAAGAAAACACCTATTTCATTCTAGAAATTTTTGACATATGGAAGTCATGATTAGTTCGACTCTGAAACTTACCATAAGTTGAGCTTAGCGTGAACTTGAGCTTACTTACCCTTATACACGAACGATGAGTTAGATAATAAGGCTAATAAATAATTTACATGCTTGTAAAGAAAGGAGGAGGAACGCAGGGGAGATGGTCCTATGACCTGGTGTAGCTGCCCGGCGTCACATGGACCCGGCAAGCCCAGTAAAGGAAACTGGAAAGGGTTGGAGACGGCTTATTATGGGCTAATTCCTATACTTAAAAACTAGAGTTAAGAATTTGTTTTATAATTATTACCTACATTGTAACATTATTGGAAATAAAAGGCTATATTATTTATTATTATTACATAAATAATAAAGCTTACCCAACAGCTATTATGAAAAAAGTATAGACAATTTAGTCAAATCGCGACGGTATTTAAAAGGTTTTTTAAAAAGTAAACTTTATTAAGGAATATTACAATTAGTATTCTTAACTATGGTCGATGTTAGACCCTAATTCTAAGGTAGTCGATGCAAGACCCTATTACTACGGTGGTCGATATTAGACTGAAGTTATTCTAATTATAATCTTACATCTAAAATTCCCTTATATCATCAGAAGCATATAATGTTAAACAATCGGGGTATTGTTTGTATTAACGCTTACAGTGCGTTCTGAGTATATGGGTGACAATGTAACTATTTACCCTTTACTATTTTCTACAACTTGTTTGTGGATTGAAGGCAAAGCCTGATTATCTACGAAATGTGATCCTACGCCCTACTGGGGGTGCAATCTTTTAACGACGATTTTATTTGTATACAAATAACGGAAATGCTTTAAGCGTTGTCAAACGATCATACTGTATACGAAAAAATGAGTAGATATCTACAAGCTTATTCCTAATACATTTACATTTGCTCGAACGGTGAAGGAAAACATCGTAAGGAAACCGACATGTCTTAGACCCAAAAATCTACGGCGTGTGTCAGGCACTGGAGGCTGATCACCTTTTTACTTATTAGATTTAAAAATGATCATGAAACAGATTCAGAAATCTGAGGCCAAGACCTAAAGAGGTTGTAGCGCCACTGGTTTTTTATTCCTTATACAATAATTTCTACTAATTACTTGAAATATGTGCATTACGTTATGTTAGATACTCGATGTTCATATTCATAAAATATCTTCAATATAAAGAAATGTTCCATTTTTATTTAAAACGTAAAACCATATTTTAGCTTTAATCCCGCTGTCTTCGAGTTATGAATCTTTACGCATGAAGTTTTAAAAAGGCCACAATTCACAACTTAATTCTAAGCTATCATCGCAGATAAGAAATATTATTATCGACTTTCCGAATATCCCTCGGTAGGGTGACCGTGTATGAAGAAAATTAAATCACTAAAAATCAAACCTAAAACTTCTTTATACATCACGTACAGTGGTAATTGTACACGTACCTACAGTAGAATAATTTAAAAAAGGTTTTTTGTTATAGCTTTTAAAATAATTTAATTACATTGCGACACCAAGACACGACATTCTACTTATTACTCTTTCTATTACTCATACTCGTGAACGGGTGCTACTTGTAGTGACTGGTCGTACTTGAATGCGTGTATGCGGTGATGTAAGTTTTTTCGACTATGTATTTGCGTGTTGTTCTCACGAGAATGTCACTTATATTCTGCTCCTATTTCACCATGCCTACTGCTAATAGAAGACAAATCTTGGTTTTTTATATTATTAATTACCTACTTAAAATATCATGTGGAACATGATGTAATGGTTGCAGCTCCTTACAAACATTGTGTAAAACAAAATACTTGGCGATTAAAAAGAGTGGCGAAGAGTTTATTGCCAGTTCTTCTCTTCCGTTCTACGCCCTTGATTTGAGATCTGACAGTAAATGTAAAATTAGAAGCATTTAATATGTATTTCTTTTTGACGTTCATAAGTGTACATTGTGTTAAGTACCTAAATGAATAAATGATTTTGATTTGATTTGGTTTGTGTGTTTTCAGTTTAAGTAAAAGATTCAATACGTTGTAATGATTCGTAGTTAAAAACCGAAGCCACCCTACTCCAAGGGACAGAGTGCTTTTAGCTGTAGCCCTTAACCTTCGGGCCGTCTTCAATGAAATATTTATTGGCATTAAATTGACGCTCCGAACACTTTATGTGTTCTACGTTCCAATGTTTGAATAGTGGGACGAGTTTAAATACCTTGTAAAAGCCACCAAGGCCGCGAAACCTCATAATTTCTTACACAAACTATGTTTCTATCTATATTTTGTAAGTATTAAAATTACCCTAACCACTAACTGGCACGTAGGCAGTGACTAAGGTCGAGTAGTTTTATAATAAATATATCTGTCGGCTTAATTAGCAGCCTAGCCTTTTAACTAAACGGCGCTGTTTAACTAGCGGCCGGATAGATGTTCAGCCAGTTGACCTAACAGCTAGGCAAATGACTTGGATCGATGACTTTTCATTAATTGCCTAGCCTGTTAATGTAAATTTAATTCCATTTTCTGCCACTCTAAAACTCGAAACGAAACTCTTCAAACTGTCAATATCGTGTCGGCAAACCACAACTTTGATGGTGCCAAAGCTTCATGAAAATCAACAAGTACAATGGAAGAGTGTAGTGACGATAATAATGTGAAATGACTCAAGCAATTTAATTTTAAAAGAAATATTTATTATGTCATATATTTTTCTTCTTTTTTACTTCTGCCAAATAATGACTATCGTACGAAAGGAAATATGTCGCTACAATGTTGAGTAGACAGAGGCATTGCCGTACTAACTAGTGTTTAGTGGTCCATACTGAGGAGAAACCGACTTGTTTTTTTTATATAACAGGGGGCCAACTGAAAAGAGGCAATCTGATGTTAAGTGATACCATTGCCAGAGAGCTTGTAAGGACGTTGTCTTTTAAGAATTGGTACACTCTTTTCTTGAAGGACCCTAAGTCTTTTGGTTTGGAAATAGTCAGTGGGGAGCTGGTTCCATATAGTGGTGGTGCACTGCAATAACTGCCTTAAAACGCTTAGTTGTGGAACGACGGACGTCGAGGTGATATGGGTGGAATTTCGCATTCTTCCTCGACGTCCGATGATGAAACTCAACCGTAGGTATTAATCCGAACAACTTATATGAAAACCCTTTTTCGTAAATACCGTAGAAGGTTTGCCAAAACAGACACTGTCCAGTACCAGGTATTACATAGCCAGTTCTGTGAGAAATAGAAAACCCAGAGTGGCTCCAGGCTCCATACCCTCTTCAATTATTGAAATTCACAAAGTAACAATTTTCAGCTCGACCCGTTGGTCGATAAATATACCTTAATACTATGTATTTACAAATTTGAGGTTTTACAAAAATAGTGTCACTACACTCATTAAGTAAAAATGCAATTGTACCACAAATAACGGTGCGGTGGCATCGATTCATACTGAAATAATAAGTCCTGATATACCTCGTTATAATGTCTCTTTACCAGGAAGAAAGGCACACAATATTGTCAGCCGTAAGGATTAGGAGAAATTCTATTAGTTTGGGAACAAAGAGAGGTTAGACTGATGCTGATTGATACCTTGCCCTATTCTTAAACACGCACTAAACACTCACTATCAAATTCTAAATAGTGGACGTAACTATTATCAACTATAATTAACAAAAAGTAAATATAAAAATGCATCTAACGTAACCAGAGTAAATCTCAACAAAGGCTAATCAAAAAATGTGAGGATCACACTCATCAAATATTATAAAATTAAAATTATGTATTTCGAACACCAATGTTTAGGCCATAAGGGAGTCTAGTTAGTCGGTCTGTCTCGACCTGAATCTTACATGATGACTTGATTGATTTTCTTTACCAATATATTCGAGTCTTACACGGTTTCCACAAATTATTTTATCTGAGGAGAGATATCTCTCTTCCCTAAGGTCGTAGGTTTGGTCCCCGGCTGTGCACTAATGCACTTTCTGTCTATGTGCGCATTTAACATTCTCTCGAACGGTTAAGAAAAACATCGTGAGGAAACCGGCTTGCCTCAAACCCAAAAAGTCGTCAGCGTGTGTTAGGCACAGGAGGCTGATCACCTACTTGTCTATTAAGATAAACAAATGAGCATGAAACATACATAAATCTGAGGCCCAGACCTAAAAGGTTGTAGCGCCGCTGGTATTATTAATAAAAGTATTAATCAATTAAAAGAGATAATGCTTACATAGTTCCAATTATCTCCTACCAATGTAGAACTTATATCACAATGTATGATAACGAGTTTTATTTTTGGGTATTTACTCATTTTTATTCTAAATGTAAAAATAATAATAATGGTAATTCAGATACAGAAGATATATAATGTAATAAAAAGACCTCAAAATAATAAATTATTTTAATAAAATAACTATACTAATCTTATTCCTAAATATTAAAGATTTTGTACAAGTAGTTAACAGACCGAACCCATGAAACTTATACAATATACATATATTTAATTTACAAAAGTAAACATTTTTTATCATATTGTTCCATCATTTATTATTATACTAATTAGTAAATTAAATAAAATACACTATGTTAGTTTTTACAATTTTAAATTCATTGTAAGAGGTGTCAATAATATGTCACGTTTAGAATAGACAGTTATGAATAAAAACCCACAAAAAATATATAAAAAATATCAAACATAAATACGAAATATAAGCAGTGCTTAGTGATTGAAGCCACGTTATATTCAATTGATAAGTATTTCAACATTGAATAACTGTACACAAGGATAATCTTTTCTCATATAAAAGTTATGTTCGTAAAATTCTAAGTCAATATATCTGCTTTATATGAGACAGTTCATAAAAGAATTAATTTATTTTATGTTATAAAACTAACACAGCATTTATAAAATAATTAGAAGCCACTGTCTTGTAAAAAATAATAATCAATTGTACTAAGGTATAATATCTAATTCGCTTGGTAAAGGAATACTTTTCATAGTAGCAAATCGTCTCAATGCATCATATTTGGACCTCAATGCTTCTATTTCTTCACGAATCCTGTTGTTTTCGTCCTGCATTGACTCCATATCATGCCATTCCTGAAATTATAATTAAAATCACTGTATCAGCAACATTTTAATGCAAGCAATGCAACTGGAAATTTATAAATATTATTCACTGTTTGAACAGTGTTAGCAGTGCCCTACATTATGTTTTTTTTTTTTCAATTATTGTTTAAACATTAATAAATTATAAAGCCTTGGATCTTGAATGACCAAAAGTACCCATTCCATTATAGACTTAAAAATTAGAGAAATAAACAATGGTTATTAACGTATCATATAGGTACATATAACAGATACAATTTGATCCAGTAGCGTGATGTTATTATATAGTCTTCCTCAATAATTGATCTATCTAGCTTGACTTAATATAAACTCGTTGTTCCTGATTTTGTGATAACGCGTTCAAATAAGCTCAGGGAAGTTAAAAATAAGTATTTTTTTTTCCACTTTGACAATTTTCTATGCTCTGATTGTAGAATATATACCTTGTTAGTTGCTGTAATGTATTTGTATAATAGTGATTTACAATTAGTTCAGTTTTCTTGTAGACCACAAGCCCATGAACAAAAAATACCTGTGAAATGACCCAACGTGAATTACGCTTAGAAGGCTGTTACTATATCTGAAAATAGCTCTGAGCACTATGCCGTCATTTCTGAGCGGTACATGTGAGTACGTGAGTGAATGGACTTTCTCAGGTACAATTGGGGAATTTCGACTAATTATTAATGTACGGCTTTGTTATAAGTGTATAGATGATTAAAAATAAATGTCGAAAAACCTAGTGCCGTACTAAAGTGATGGTGCCGGAAGTCGGTGCAAATTTTTAATTCGACGACAGTTGCAGAAGCAATATAGGTCATTTATTACTGTACGGCATTTGTGTGATTCCTTTTGGACACATATACAGATACTTTACCCGTAAACGCCGTACATATTTCCAGCGGAGCGGTCGAAAGCCAAGGGTCGCAACATATGTCTGATTAGCATATAGGTGATGAGGATATAGAACAACATAAAATTAAATGATCTTGAGAGTTCTTCACAAATAGGTAACATTTTCCAGCATGCCGTACATTTTTTGTGGAACACATAGGTGTATGGGGTAAATTACTTCCCTCCGAAAAAGAGTCATTTTCCGGTGACTTTTATCTGTACGGCAATAACACAGGTTATTAATACTTTAGACAATCTTCAATAAAATATACAGATGTGTCCAAAAGGAATTACGCAAATGCCGTACAGTAATAAATGACCTATATTGCTCCTGCAACTATCGTCGAATTAAAAATTTGCACCGACTTCCGGTACCATCACTTTAGTACGGCACTAAGTTTTTCGACATTTATTTTTAATCATCTATACACTTATAACAAAGCCGTACATTAATAATTAGTCGAAATTCCCCAATTGTACCTGAGAAAGTCCATTCACTCACGTACTCACATGTACCGCTCAGAAATGACGGCATAGTGCTCAGAGCTATTTTCAGATATAGTAACAGCCTTCTAAGCGTAATTCACGTTGGGTCATTTCACAGGTATTTTTTGTTCATGGGCTTGTGGTCTATTGGAGATTATGCAAAACAAAAACAAAATTTCTAACTATACATAATTTTAATTTACAGCCGCCTCTCGATAACTTAAAACTCAAGGGACCAGTGAGAAATTTAATAGGTATTACCAAAATAACAAGCGTTTAAATAACCTCGAGGGGTAGGGCGGACTCAAGTAAATAAGAGTTTAATCAAAATTCGTGATTTATTATGACTATATTATAATTATGTATTTACAATACATCAATCATTGACATTTTTTTTCGAAAAGATAAAAAAATGAGTCCGTAAATTTTTATTGAGTTATTTCGGTTAATAAACAAAGAATGAAGAAAAAACAATTGACAGCTCTGTGCCTGATAAACACTTCAAATTATAGAGGGTAGGTGAGCCCAGACTTCAAATTATCACATGTTGGCAAGCAAGATACTATCCCTTTACCTTAAAATTTCCAAAAGGATCATTCAACATTGATTTTATTTAATTTATCGAATATGTTTCAAGGGACAAAGAATTAAACTATCTAGCTATTCAAACAAACGAGTTTCAAATTATTGAGATTCGACTATATGTATATACTAATATAAATAAATAAAACATGGAATTATTTGACAATAGATACACTGTTTATCGTAGAGATCGTTCAAGTTCTACCAATACCAAATCGGATGGTGGAGGTGTAATATTGGGAGTCTCCAAAGAAATTTCTTCTTTCAGAGTTGAGGCATGGGAATCGGATGTGGAGGACTTATGGGTCACCTTACATATAAATATTAATAAAATAATAAAGAAACTTTCGATATGTGTAGTATACCTACCTCCTCCTGTAAAGATTGGGACTTTGACACATTTTTTAGACAGCGTTGACAGAGCTTTAAACTTAAGCGATGACGTCATTATTCTAGGTGATTTCAATCTAGGGTTCATTGATTGGAGATCGTTAAATAATGAAGTTTTTATGACACCTTGTAATTATAACAATACACTTGGCTTTGCCTTGATTGATTTTATGTCTATGAATAGCCTAAAGCAATTTAATAGTATAGGTAATAGCGATGATCGTTTCTTAGATTTAGTATTAAGTAATATGTCTAGTATTAATGTATCAGCCCCCTCCGACTCGTTAAGTAAAATATACGCGAATCATCCTAGTTTATTGTTAAGTTTTGAATATTCTAAAATATCCTTTTTGCGAACGAGAGGTAACACTAAACTAAATTTTTATAAAGCTGACTATGTGTCTATAATAGGGGATCTGAAAACCATTGATTGGAATGATAGCCTACGCGCTCATGATGATGTTAATGATATGGTATCTAAGTTCTACAAAATTCTTAACACCACTATAAGCAAATTTGTACCTAATACGACCATCACGAAATCTAAGTATCCGGTGTGGTTCAGTTCTTCCTTAATAAAATTACTTGCTGAAAAAGAAAAAACACGTAAGAGGTATCGAATATACAAGAATCCTCGAGACGAAATAGAGTATCACATTATTAGAAAACGTTGTCACAAACTTTATGATGATTGCTACACTAAATATAAGCGAAATATTGAGGCAAGTATTCCTAATAATCCTAAATGTTTTTGGAGTTTTATTAAAAATAGGAAAGGTGGTCACTCATCGCTTCCCTCTTGCATGAAAATGGACAATGTTACAGCCCAGTCATCACCTGATATTGCTAATCTTTTTCATATCAATTTTCATCTGTATATACTTGTGATGAATCACTTGTTGGCAGTTCCACTCCAGACGACATTGGCAATGTTGACGGCCTAATGTCCCTTAGCTTTAGAGAGGATGAAATATCTAAGAAAATAAAAGGTCTTGATGCTAACAAAGGAGCTGGGCCAGACTCGATTCCTCCTATCTTTGTAAAACGATGTAGATTTGTGTTATCTTTGCCCCTAACTATTATTTATAATAGATCTCTTAAAGATGGTGTTTTTCCTGAAGTATGGAAAAGGTCTCGTGTTGTACCTGTGTATAAAAAGGGAGATATCACCGACGTAAAAAATTACCGTCCTGTTTGTATTTTATCTTGTTTTTCCAAGCTCTTTGAGTCTGTCCTGTATCCCGTAATCTCCAAATGTTTAGACGGCTGTATCGTTGATGAGCAACATGGTTTCAGAAAAGGCCGTTCAATTCAAACGAACCTCATGTCTTTTGTTACTGAAACATGTCAGGAATTAGATCGTGGGCGCCAGATTGATGCCATATATACTGACTTTAGCAATGCCTTTGACAAAGTCAGTCACGCGTTACTGATTCAGAAGCTTCGTGGTTATGGAATGGGAGAGAATTTGCTAAACTGGTTTAGGTCCTATCTTCGTAACAGGCCTCAGTCAGTAGTTGTTGGAGGCGCTGAGTCTACTCCCTATATTGCGCGATCTGGTGTACCGCAAGGATCTCATTTGGGACCGTTGCTATTCTTACTATTTGTAAACGACGTTAAGAATCATATAAAGCACTGTAAATCGTCTCTCTTCGCTGATGATTTAAAAATTTATAAAGTTATTAACACTGTCTGTGATGCTGCTCTAGTGCAAAGTGACCTTAATGGTATACAACATTGGTGCTTTTTAAATGGTATGATCCTCAATATAAATAAGTGCTTTCATATTAAATACACAAGGAAAAAAAACCACTTGTTACTGTGTATAAGCTTGACGGCGCGCCATTGAAGAAGGTTCAGGAGATTCGTGACTTGGGTGTTATTATTGACAAAAAAATTAACGTTTACATCGCAGGTCAATAAAGTAGTCACCACATCCGCACGAATGCTTGGATTTCTTAAACGGAATGCGGATTGTTTTGGTTGTACGACTAAAACAATTTTGTACAACGCTCTGGTGCGCAGTCATGTTGAGTTTGGTAGTATTATATGGAATCCACTATATGCGATCCATTCGCAACGCGTTGAAAGCATACAAAGATCTTTTACGCGACACCTAGCTTTCATAAGCAGAGGATTTTCACATAGACAACCGTACCATGAGCGACTTAAAAAATTTAATATGTTATCTCTTAACAATCGGAGAGCTCTAGCCGGTGTTACATTCTTGTATAAATTGCTCAACAACCATTTACAGAACAGTGACCTTTTACAGGAAATCAAATTTGTCGTCCCTTACTCATTCCCTAGGTTTAAAATTAACAATATATTCCAAATTCCATCTGCCAAAACCAACCTAGGAGTTCAGGCACCTCTCGTTCGAATTCTTCGCGATTTCAACAAATTGAACACAGCGTATCCAGAGCTGGATATATTCGGTAGTGGGCTGATCGGTTTTAGAGAAAGCATTGTGGGGTGCCTTTCTAGAACCTAATTTCTTTTTTTCTGATGATTTTTCTTTTTTTTTTCTGCACATAGTTGTTGAAAATTTTATTTTATTTTATGTTTATGTTAAAAATTGATTTTATTTTAATGTGTGCTTGCATTGTCGTGTGTGTTTTAGTTGTGTTTTTTTTTAATTTCTATTTGATTTTTTTACTGAGAAACTTATGCTTGCATTAACTGTCACACATTTTAGATGTGGGATTTTGTGAAATAGTTGGTGGACTTATGACTGTGTGTGATGTTGTGGGCTTTATATGTATATACTAATATAAATAAATAAAACTAAATCTACACACCTGGCTTTTCTCAGTTTCCAATTCATCTTTTTGCTCTATTCGTTTAATGCGACACGAGGCTGCATATCCACGATTCTTTAATGTGCGGCGTCGTTGTTTCATCCTGGAAGAGATTTTAACGAGAAGTCATGATCATGAAATTATTAAATTAGTGACTTTATCAATTTGGCATTATTTGATATTTTTTAGACAAAACATCAGGCAGTTTCAATGAATGAAAAGTTCTAAATACTACAAAACATTTTCAGGTAAATACAATGGTTTGGGCCAATACAAGTTACAATTAAAATAATAAGACTAATGTCAAACCAACAATGAACTTTTCAATCCAGAAGTGACTATCTTTATTAAAACTCAGTAGGACAATAATTAAGCACACAACATCCAACATTTAGGTTGTGCATTCAAATCCTGTGTTATTCAAACCAATGAATTTGCTAATAAATGCATTGTACAAATAAATGAGGAAGAGGTGATGCTTTTAAAAATGAATAATGCTATTACCTAACAATCTGATCTCGAGTGAGCCCTCTCATCTTAAGCTGTCTGTTGAGGTCACGAACTGATATAGATACCAGCTCATCGTCACTGATCTCTGCACATGGAGTTGGCGAGAGTGGAGCCTGAAATATTCCAAATACTAGTGCTAGCTTTTAGTACTAATCCTACTGTAAAATCATTGCTAGTTGATAATAGAAATGACATATGGGAATAAGAACTAGACTGATAATAAAAAGTATAGCTTTAGGGAAGGAAAAAGCAATTGTGAGTACAGCAAATCTTTAGCCTTTATTTAAATGCTTGTTTGTGGCAAAGCATAGATTTCTTGTAGATGAAAATATGACAATCAACCTAGGTCTAGACATCATAATATAATATTAAAAAATGATGAAATGGTAGCAGTTGATTTAAAACATGTTAGATTTCTCTTTAGCTACGTTGTAAGTAAGATCAATAACAAATTATGCTGAGTCATTGTAATGGAGATTTCTAGAAAGAGTATACCCCACATGTTTTCTTCACATAGACCTTATAATGTATGTTATATAAAGCTTTAAATGGAATTTAAAAAATGTTTCTGTAAGTGATAATTGAGAAGTTAAGGAATAATAAATAGAAATAAAATAAACATAAATATTTGTTCTTTAAAATTAATAAGTTCAGTACAAGATATTGCTTTTTAATGTCCTGTTAAAGTATAAGTAAATCATAATTAATACAAACCATCAGTGCTTTCCTGGCAGCCAGACTCTTTAAATCATGAGGCATAGTAAAGTTTTTAGAGGAATAAGTTACGGCTACCCGATACTGAACATATACCTTTAAGTTTAATTATATCAGCCACAGAATGATCTGGTGCACCAAACTTAATTATGAATAGGATTTATTCTGCGAAAACTTTTTATTTATTTTACGCATATAATTTTAATTGTAAACACAACAATGTGAACAGAGTTCATACTTTATTAATATATTGACAATGCGATAATTCTATCATAGATATTTGTAGACTCTTACCATAGTCTGTAGACTCACTTTTGTAATCTTAATCTAATTGCGATGATATTATATTATTTCGATTCAATGTATATTTAATAAAAACACAATTTTTTTCAAGTATATTTGAATATATTATGGTAGCAATAGTACCAGGCAATAAATGTAATATGAAAAATTTATTCATAATATGCATCTGAATGATAACACAGGCCTACTAAACAAAATTTTTTTTATGGTGCAGCTCCTTTTGTATATATTGTCGATAAAATGGGTAATGTACAATATATTGGCATACGTAATTTTAACTCATCAGCTCTAGTTTACCCACTACCCTTATTTTATTTTTTTTCCCGCGTTCGTCGTCAATAGTGATTATTACATTCATATCGATAAAGTTTCTATTACTAATTCAATATGACTTGTACGTCCAGATGTTGTGTTAACGATTCTGATACTTTTTGCTATGTTTGTGATCAATACATACTGAAAGATCAGCCTATAACGATGACAAACACTGTGAATCGTTTGTATTTTGCTTATTTTGGTATTGAAATTCAGCACCAATATAATGTGTGGGTGCCAAATGATGTGTGCACAATATGCGTTGAACGTCTACGACAGTGGGAGAAAGGCTCACGTAAGTCTTTAAAGTTTGGAATGCCTATGACATGGCGAGAACAAAAAAAAACATTATGGCGACTGTTACTTTGTACTTTGTATGACAAATATAGTGGGCAACAACAAAAAAAAATCTATATCTATATAAAGAAATGGAAATACCCTGAATTTCCCTCAGCACAAAGACCTATTCTTCATCCAGAAAATGTTCCAGTACCAGCTTTTCACCAGGTAGTGCGGCAATCTCAGGAGGATCAATCTGAAATACCTTATTCTTCCCAAATAGATGACGAATTTGAATACTGCGGGAAATCATCAAATCCTAACCCATTTTAACAAAATGAGCTGAATGACCTCATCAAAGACTTAGGGCCTTCGATGGAACGTGCTGAGTTACTAGCTTCAGGATTAAAAGAAAAAAAAATGCCTTTCTTCAGACGTTCGAGTGTTAACATATCGTACGAGAGAACAAAACTTATTGCAGTTCTTTTCATCTAATGGCTAGCCGCACACACGCAATAATATTGTCAAATCAAGTTTGTCAATTTGTTTTAACAATATATGCCTCCGCATATTTCTCAATATTATTGCCAATATTTACTAATTTTAAAAGGCTCAGTCACGAACTGATCCTTGATCTACGCGGAAGTATGGATAATAAAAAAAAATGTGTCATATTGTGTATGGCAATAAGCCTGTTAAATAAGAAACCGAGAACTAAAAAAAAACTATGGATTAATTTTTTTATATATCACAAGTAAATTATCGAGTGCAATGTTCTTTTTCACTTTGTCGCGATATGTTTTTGATGATATAATATTCCATAGTTCCGGATAAGTTTCCCACAATCTAATGAATTCCTTTAAAGTCTCTTTATCATTTGGGGGAACATTTTCCACACTGTCTCCGTCATAATTTTCGATCAGATCTTCGTCTTCCATTTTACAAAAATCAAAACAAACAATAATATTTGAGACATAGAAAACAACTAATTTGACGTGCACTCATAGATAAATTATGTTAAACTAGAATATTGAAGTAAGGCCCGCACACACACAATAATATTGACAATAACCCTGCCTCCCCCCTGAATATTGACGGCATATTTCAGAATTTCCGGAAATTCGCAATAATATTGAACAATACCGCAATACAGGCCGCACACACACAATATTATTGACAATACGTATTTTATTGTCAATATTATTGCGTGTGTGCGGCTAGCCAAAGAAATAGTTGTATATTGCTATATTGTCAGTGGTTTGCTGACATTCATGAGTTTGCCGATTTATCAGTCCAATGAATGGCGTCACTTTATTGACTACTGTCAATAAACGTAAACGAAGTCTGAAAACAGTTCTCCTAAAATGGGTAAAGAAATGTTCTAAATTAACCCTTGGTTTCAAGAGAAAAAATTATTCTTCACAAAAATTTCCTGGTTTAAGTACTGAGAAACTAAAAGCAGGTTTCTTTGATGAAAATACGTCAATTAATAAAAGATACCACAAAATTTGAGACTTCTATGAATGATGTGGTACGGCTTGCGTGGAAATCTTTTGTAGCAGTTGTATAGAATTTTTTCGGAAATCATAAGGCTGTGACAACTATGTAAAATTAGTAGAAGATATGCTGGTTCGATTCAACGATTTAGGCTGTAATATGAGTATGAAATTTCACAGTAATCTAGATCAATTCTAACACAATTTAGGAGACCTAAGCAAAGAACAAGGAGAACGAGATTACCGAGACAAAAAAACAATGGAGAACAGATACCAAGGAAGATGGGACACTCATATGATGGCCGACTACTGTAGGGGAATCATGCGAGATTGCCCAAGTCAATTTATTTCGAGAAAATCGATCAAAAGACAATTTCTTGATGTTTAATGCCATAAAAATATATGTTTATTGTAAAAAATGTTTTTTTATGTATCTCGAAAACTAGAGCTGATAGAAAAATCTGATTACATTTTTGATTTCACCATGTAAGACATGGTCTAAAAAGCCCGGCAGCAAAATGGTTGTAGGCCAGTGTAATATTTAGCAGTGTTTTAAGTGTTCTATCTCGTGCGGTATTCGCAAACACTAGATGCGGAATGCGTTATGCGGTATACTAGTACTAGTAAATTATACTTCAGCTTTTATCTATATATGGAATTTCAAATATGTCTCTTGTCATAATAGTAGACTTATCACTTAACTATCTAGTCTGTGCATACAACTGTCAAGTTTTGTCGCTCGTGAATCGTGTTTCCAAATCTCAATAATTTTGTAACGTAGAAAATCTTTTACGTTACACTTACAGCATTTAGTGATTTCTAAATTAACAAAAATGGCTAAACGTAAGAACAAACCATTGATAGATTCTGATTCCAGCAGCGATTGCTCTGATTTGGATTCAGTGAGTATCAATGCCGTACAAACAACATTTTAACACGACTTATTCCCGACATTCCTATATTTTTTATGAGTATTCTTCCCTACGGCGGTTATCGTTAAAACGCATATATTTTATGCTCAATACTGTATTTCTCAATCTCCAGATATGACTCCCAGAAACATGAATTAATAGAAACAAGTAAAACGCCATTTAAATTGACGATTTTGTTTAAAAAAGTACGCTACGACGTCCCAATTTCTGGCGTGACTCATACAATATATAATAATTTTTTTTCTTTGCAAAACAAAAACTCAAACTAACCCTTAGGTAACACCCAAATATAAATGGTTACTTAAACTTGTCAACTGTCTGGACTTGAATTAGGTTTTTATGTAACCTTATGTATATTTTCATTTTACTGCCTTTCCCTAATATAAGCATCATGAATTTGCAAGCCTCATGCATTAGATAGAAGTATAAGTACTGGACCTTATACTGTTCTTGAGAATATTTATGAATGGCATACATCTACAATAATCAGAGTCATGGAGAATTTATTTTAATTATTATTATATGGAGATCATTCATTGGAAAATGAGTTTTATATAGAACAGTTATTTAATATATTTAAAATATAATTAAAGTAAAACAAAGATCAAGTTATTTTTTCTGCACTAAGATGGATATATATAGATCAAATCCTTTGTAGCATTAGGTGAATGTTGCTTATCTAATGATCATGCTCTGAATTTTAGTTATTATTACTTAACTTTTCAGCAATTTTTAAACTTAGCAAAAAAGAAAAAGAAGCCTGGAGAATCTCCTCCACCAGCAAAATCAAATAGTAAATCGTCAGACAGTGAGTCTGACTGGGATGATGATGATAAAAAAGATGGTATGTAATATTTATAGAGAACCAAGGTTGATAAAACTATTGTATCAAAAAGCTCGTCAAGTAGCTTGTGGAAACATACATTTTTAATATTTTCTAAATGTTACTTAAGAATATACTAGGCTTAATAAATAGCCGAGTGGTGCTTTAGTTTTCCACTTAAATATTACTTGTAATGATAGGAATAACAGACTTACAAAAAGATTTTTTTCTTTTAGACAAATCATCATCTTCGTCAGATTCAGATTCAAACAGTGATGCAGAAAGTGATACATCAAAGAAAGATTCTCCAAAACCTATGAGAAAAAGTTCTTCAGAAGAAGATCGAATGAGAGATAAAAATGAAGAGAAGAAAAAAGTTGAAAGAAGTGAAGAGAAAAAGAAAGTTGACAAAGAAGTTCGAATGAGTGTTGACAGTGCCGGGTCAGGAAAGAAAAAAGATGTCTATAGTGAGCCCGAAGAAGGTATTAATTTTTTCCTAAATTTACAGTATTAACATGTGCTAGTCAAATTATACAACAACACTTTTCCCTCAACAACAATTAAAATAATATTTTTTTTCATCATATTTACTATATTAAAGTAATAAAATACTACCTACGTGCACACTAACTCTGGATGTCGTGCCGCCATACATAGAATCTGTTATTCCTATAAGACTTACTACTTCAAAGTTGATATGTTGTTGTTGTCCCTACTATTCCAAGCACATTTTAAAATCATTGTTGTTTGTCTTTTGTGTATGTACTTTACATTTTCGTGCCCATTCTTGTTACTTACCTACTTATTTTTAGTTGTGTTACTCATACTTTTATAAATAAATTTTCATCTGTGAATCAATTTATGGACGCTTCTATAATAATTATCACTTGTATATATATATATTTTTTTTACACTTCTTGTATGTATGATGTGCCTTCACGTTTCTTTATTGATAAGTAAATAATATAATGTTTAATGTATTTTAACAATTTTTTTAGGCGAGGTGTCATCACATTCCTCGGATAATGATTCTATTGACTCTGAAGAAGAATTTGATGATGGGTAAAATATTAACTATTGTATTGTATGAAAATTTATAGAAGTAATGCGATGTCACACAGTTAATTTTTCATTATTTTATTTATGTTTCCGATAATCTAAGGATAATTGAAATTATGATGTTTGTTATTGTTAGTTGTATTAAATGTATTATTTACTTTTTAGTTATGATGAAAATTTGATGGGCGATGAAGAAGATAGAGCACGATTGGCAGCCTTATCGGAAAAAGAGAGAGAACAAGAGATTTTCAAACGTATAGAAAGGAGAGATCTTATGAAAACCAGGTTATTATACATTTTTCAAATAATATACTCTTTCAACCAATAGAGTTATATATAGGATCGCACATTGAAGTATGAAAATTAATTTTTAATATCTTTAAGCAACTCCATGGTGCAAATTAATCAAATTTTGTGTGTAATAGTGACATACAGTGACTGTTTACTAGTTTATTTAAAAAAATTGTCTATGAACAATATGGCATTGTAGCAAAGCTAGTTTTTCTGCTATGTCAACCACTTCTCATGAATAAGGTTCTTTTATCTAATTATGTATACAATTTTTTATTATATAGGTAGCTGAAGTGTTTGTTTGAACTTCTTTGTATTAGATATTTGTCCATTCATCGAGAAAGATTTTCTTGAAGTGCCATTTCCTTTCGAAGGTTAGCGTTCATGCCTACTTTAACTTTAAATACCGCGCTTCTGAACAATGACTTGGTGCTTTGAATTTGTTTTTGAGAAAGGTTTTATAACGTTTCCCCCGAATTTAAGCGGGTAAATCCGCGAGGCAGGGTTTATCCATCTAACCTAGATATTATTAAAACAGATGGGAAATAGAACGTAAATTGCGTCTGGCCCGTCGATCCGCGGCGGAACGCGGAGCTTCACCAGGTGAGCTCGCTCGTCGTCGAGATAGAAGGAAGCAACGAAGAGCGCAGAGAGCTCAGAGGGCGAAAGCTCAGGCGCAGAAGGAAGCAGAGGCGAGAGAAAGGGAGAGGACTAGTGAGAAACACGGTGAGTGGGAGAGTGAAAGCAATAAACAAAAGGGCCTGTTTCGAATCTGGGGAAGATGAAGAAGAATGCTTATGTTTACGTTTTCTAATCATATTGTTCTTGTGATGTTTGTGTGTAATAGAAAAAATGTGTTTAATATAAATATATTTCCAGAATCAGATATTGAAGAGCCGAAAGAAGAAGAGAAATTAAAAGAAAAGCCACCACCCAGTCCGGGGGAGATTCCTGATGATAATAAAGATACAGGTTTGATAAGATTTTTAATTAAGATAAAAAGATTCCTTTAGTTAGTTAAATTTGTTTGTTATTAATAAATAAGGATTCTTTTAAAATATTTTTTTTTATTACAGATCGTAACGCAGAAAGGTCTGGTTCACCTTTGTTTGGGGCTAAAAGTGAACGAAAACGTAATGTCGACGACAAAAGAGTCAACGCCATGGCGGCCTTAAGGGCCCAGCGAGACGCGAGGGCTAAACTCACGGAGCACAAGCAGAAGAAGAGAATGGAAGAAGAGAAGAAGGACAAAGAAGAAGACGATGTGAGTATATAACTTATGTACACAAACTAAATATACATTTGTCTGTCTCATTTAAAAAATAATTTAGATATCGGTGCGAAATTGGTGTTTACATATGATAAATATGTTTTTATATTTTCATAGGACGCAGATGCAGAAATAATCGGTGGTACAAGCAAACAAAGTGTCAAATTAAAAGCATCAGACATTTATTCAGATGACTCGGGAAGCGATTCTGATGATAATAAATCGCAAGGTAATCATTATTATTATTTTTTTTATGTAATAGGAGGCAAACGGGCAGGAGGCTCACCTGATGTTAAGTGATACCGCCGCCCATGGACACTCGCACTGCCAGAAGGCTCGCAAGTGCGTTGCCAGCCTTTCAAGAATTGGTACGCTCTTTTCTTGAAGTAACCTAAGTCGAATTGGTTCGGAAATACTTCTGTGGGCAGCTGGTTCCACATAGTGGTGGTGCGCTGCAAAAACTGCCTTAGAAAACGCTCTGTTGTGGAACGACGGACGTCGGATATTTTTATTTTTAGTGCAACGACAATTTGACTAAATTTTGTTTCGTATATTTAAAAAAAATAGATTGTTATACTTATTATTGAAATTACTAAAGCAGCAGCTCGTCGCAGTTCCACCAGTTCCTCCTCATCGTCAGGTGAAGAGCCGGCTCCTCGTGAACGGGAGCAGGAAGAGGTGAAGTACGCTGACTCCAAGGATCAAATCAACAAATTACGACTGAGCAGGTAAAAATATATTCTCTTAATACTGTGTATTTAAATCCTAGACTTTTTGGAATATTTTAAAAAATTAAATTAAATTACTTTATATTACAGGTTTAAATTGGAAAGATTAGTTCATCTACCTTTCTTCGCTCGAGTAGTTACAGGATGTTTCGTAAGAATCGGGATAGGAAATAATAATGGCAACCCTGTGTATAGAGTAAGTCAAAATATATTTAAATGATAATAGATATATCATCATATTGTTGTCCAATTTATCCAAAAAAAATTTAATGTTTGATATTTGAAACTCAACTCTCAGTTAGTGTTACAGCATTCATTATTATTATCCCTTAAGGTATTATGACAAAAAAATCTAACTAATATTTTTAAGATTTTGATTAATTTTCTAGCTGTATAAAATTTATCAATTTTGGCATAACAGATAACTTATAGCATATAAAATATTGTATTTAATTTAAAAATATATATTATTATATTTCAGGTAGCAGAGATAATAGACGTATACGAAACGGCGAAAGTATACAATTTAGGGAACACAAGGACAAACAAGGGACTGAAACTCAGACATGGCACTCAGGACAGGGTGTTTAGATTAGAATTTGTTAGTAATCAAGTGAGTATATGTTTATTATCTATATATTTGATATACATTAAGGAAATTTTATTAAGCTATTGCACAGATTTTATCGCGGGCTTTGCGCGGCGACCGAATCAAGAAATTCCGTAACGAAAATAAACCTAACACACGACGACGTAATATAGGTGCGGTCAATACGCGTTATAGCGGGACAGAACGCATACTGCGTCTCACAGCGGTCTGGCGTGATCGGTGACGTAGCGCAGGTGCGCTAAGAAAAAAAATACTGCATAAATAAATAATTATAACTGCATAAGTTGATAAAAAATGCTATGCAATAGCTTTACCGCGGCAGTCCCCGAGTGCCACACGTTTTTTTTTATTACTTATCATTATTTTATAATGCGTTTAATCGATTAAAGTGTAGTGTTATTTTAATAACCATGATTATTTATTGGTGACTACAGAACCTTATACAAACAGTTATTTTAATTCTGGTAAGGTTTTAAATATTTATATTAGACATTCATAATTTCCAAAACGTGTCTGTAGCTTCAAATTATTATTATTAAAATGTATTTCAATCACCAGTGTCCTACGAAATCAATCTTTTAGACAGTGTTAGACAGGCAAACTCATTTACAAACATCTTGACCGATTTGTGTCACGTGATTGTAGTATAAAAATCAAAATGTTGATGATTTACAAGTTATTGGAACGAAGTTCCTTATCGCGCGTTGCGAAAGGGGACTAGACGGAAAAAATTAAGACCAAAAGTTGTGACGACACTTTTTGCTATAGTTGTAAGCCGTGCGGCATGCGCGTGTTTCTCTGTCTGTCTCTCTCTCTCTCATAGAAAGCAAGCCAGTTATTTTCGTTTCGTCTTTCTATTTCGCATTGAACAGTGTGGTGTCGCGACGATTATTTTTGTTGAGTGTATACAGGTTTTTTGTACATAATAAATTAATTAAAAAAATTATTACAATTCCTTCACTAATTAATCGAAAGGAACTTCGTTCCATCCCGCAAGTTTTTTTAAATCCGCAAAGCTTTTTAAAAACTTGTTTTTTGCACAAACTATTGTATTTTTTTATATTTTTCATATTGCCAAATAACCTATTTTTAACATCATTTAGGTCCATTTTCCATAGCGTTAAATAATAATTAAATTTGATAAATTTTGTTTAGGAATTCACGGAATCAGAATTTCAAAAATGGTTCAAAGCGATAAAGGACGCGAACAAAAAGCCTCCCATAATGGACTTTGTTAGAAGTAAAATTAGTGAAGTTAAGGATGCACTTATGTACGAATTTAAGGTAAATAAAAAAATCTCTTAATACTGATATTGAGAATAATTTCTATACTAAACTTTAAATATTTAGGAAGAAGATATAGAAAAAATTGTAGCAGAAAAAGATAGATTCAGATCTCACCCCACCAATTATGCCATGAAGAAGACACAGCTCATGAAAGAGAGAGATGTCGCACAGTTGAGGTGAGAATGATTTTTATGGTTACTTCATTTATTGCCTTTGCTTTTCTTCCCTGCAGTATCGATTTGTAATAAGGCTTGTAAGCCTAAACGACATTTTCATTTCTTATTTGGTGATTACGTCAACAGTAATTATTTATTACACATTGTCTATGCTCGAAAACGAAATGCATTTTCGAAGATTTCTACAAAAAATTTATATGTTTATGTATTATTATTTTTGAGAGCTTTGATTACTTTTGCTGGCAAGAGGAAGGGGTAGGGGGGAGAAATTGCAGTAAATCTACTTACGTACGTACGTACATGAACGGCCCCAAAGTACGATGTATGTTTTTCAACAATTGAATAGCAGATTATTTATTGAGAATCAAATAAATAATATGTGAATATACTTTCAGAGGTGATGAAGAATTAGTAATGGATTTAAATTCAAAAATTCAAGAGTTGGAAGACCGAGCCAACCAGTTGGACAAGACCAGGACGTCCTCCATACAAAGTATTTCGTACATTAACAACAGGAACAGGAAACTCAATGTGGAAACTGCCGAAAAGGCTATCATGGAAGAGGTTCAATTTTTTTTTTTCAAACATACAGAAAAATATTGCCCATGGGGCATTGTGAGAAGGAATTTCAAAGTCTTTATAAATTGAAACTTATATTTTGGGCATTTTAAAGCTCATGCTTATGTAATTTTTTTAAATAAAATTCATGTTTCTTTTGGTAAAAATAATATGTGTAATTATTATTCCTTTTCTAATATAATTATGCCTTTATTGTTCTAGATAAAAGCAAATAAAGGCAAGAAAATTGACGACCCTTTCACGAGACGACACACGAAGCCCGTTATGAACTTCAAGTCGCATCAGGGCGGGAGAAGTCAGGTGAGATTTTTTTTATATTTAGCATTCAAATGGGGGAATTTTTAAAATCGCTTTAATAATGTTAAGAATATTTAAACTTCTTGTGTATTGCAGGAAGTGGAGAAGCATCCAGAAGAAGATGAAGAAGCGCAGAAACTGAGAGAAGAAGAACAGAAGACAAAAGAGCGACTAGAGAAAGAGAGACTTATGGTAAGTAACGGTTTTAAGTAGATTTTATACATTAATAATTGTATAAAATCTAGAGATTATTACGTTTTAATGTTTTTTCTCAGCAACTGCAAACTGAAGAGGAAGCTTCGAAATCCCAGAGCAAGAGCGGGACAGATAGTCTGTACTCGTTGCACGATTTTGACATTAATATTGATATCGACCTGCCTATACCTAGTAAGTATAATATATATATTTTTTCTCTATACTAAAATCCTTCAAAGTAGGTTTAAATTAAGCAATTTTCTTGATTAAAATTTTATGTATGTTCCTATGTACATCAAGGTTTCATACCAAGACTTTATGCTGGATATATAACATATATTAAAATTGTAAAAAAAATATATATATTGTTTCAAAATTGTTGAGGAAATTTCAAGCAGCAAATGAAATGCTGTGTCCTTAAGAATCAGAGCTCCCGAGTGCATTGCCGGCCATTCACGCCACTATCAAAATATTGTAAAATGAATGATAATTTTTTTAGAAGCCGTTACAAGTCAGCCGAAACAAATAACGACAAAAGTGAAAGAGACGGGCCCCAAACGTTCACTTAACCTAGACGAGTATAAGAAACGGCACGGGCTTATTTAGTATAGTTTTTTTAATGGTAACATTTATAAACAGTTGCATACAATTTGTTTATAGCCCCAATTAAAGCTAGCTCGGTTCGCAATAAGTAAACGTATTTCTTTCAAGAACGCCCGATGTCGGTGACGTCATGAAAGCTGACAGTTGACTATAATAAAAATAGACTTTCCACAGGTAATATTTTTATTGGAATAACACAGATTTGTGTTTGTTAGTTAGTTCGTTAGAAATTATTTTTTATAATTGAATATGTGACATTTTAACTATAGCCAAATATGCAATGTTTATAATTGTTATCAAACACTTAAATATAATTGGAATAGTTTTGCATTTTTTCATTTCACACCTTGTTTATAAAAACTAAAACTTAACTACATCACTGTTAGTTTACTAACAAGATCTATGGTTAACGTAATAGAGTAGTTTTGCGTTACGTATCGAAAACTACGTTGCATCTGTCAAAGTGAAATGACAGTATCGTATTGACGAATACGAACGTTCGAAACAATGCGTAGAAGGACAGATAGATCTGTCTCTTTTCATCGCATATGATTAGAAAGAGTGTTTTAAAAGATCAATTAAGTTTTTATGAATAACAGGTGCATATAAAAATCGTGATCTAAAATGCGTATACAATTGTATGAACAATCCAAACCCCACAATTCTGAGACTTAGCGCTAAGTAAGTATGTCGAAATACGTTTTTGACATATAAGTGACTTTCTCAATAGCTTTTGTCTATAGAAAAGCTACTGAGTCCAGAATTGGACTCTAAAATGTCCTGATGAACCAGTATACGCCAGCTTTCGAATAAAATGCGTCATTGTTATTGAATCAAAAATTATAATTAGTTTTTAGTTATAAGTTAGATTAATTTGTTATAATTTGTACAAATCCCAACAAACTATAGATTAAATTCCAAAAACTTTTGCCTTTGTGTCTTCGAGAACATATTCTGTCAAAAATTAAGATTAAGGTTAAATTAAGGTATCTAAGACGGACGATATTGATAAATTTTTACCCATGTAAGGAAGGTAGCCTTTTTTATAAATACTCACCGAAAAACAAGATATAGCTTTTAATATTACATATAGTACTGACTGGCTTTTGCCTTAAAACCTGTAAAATACAATTTGTTTCTACGCAATGTATAAAGCAATAAAACGCGCCTTAATTTATATAGTATAGTATATATGAACAGTACGATGTTTATCATATTTTATACGAATAGTATAATTAAAGTCTCCCAAGAACAAAGTAGTTTTGACTGATTCCTATATTCAACGACACGTTACCCGTTAAAAAATTTAATAACCGTTATGCGAATAAAATCGTACATATGTCGGCGTAAAACTGTTAACACTTAGATTACTTGTGTCCAGCCAATTCAATCTTATGAAGTCTTCGATAGACAAAACCGCGAGATAGATTGAAATCTAACGGTATTTATAGTTTTACGGCGACATAGATATGTGTAAACGAACCTTATGATTATAATAGTAATTACAATGTAGTAGTAATCTATTTATTTTGTAATTAATGTCTCAATAAAGCTCAAATGCTGATTTGTTGTTTAATTTCATAGTTGTAAGCTTTCAACAAAGTGTTATTTTACGTATTCCTGTTTTGGTTAAAGGGTACTAATCTCGGTGGATTATACAAATAAAATCTAGAATTCATGCAAACCATTGGGTTACTCTAGGACCTACTCTGGGAGGGAATATACAGTGTAAAGTCTATATAACGACACTCAAGGGATTGTGCCTATATTGACGTTACAAAGAGTTGCCGTTAAATGGAAAGAAAATCTGTATTAAAAAAGAAAGTATATTTTAGACTAGTGTTAGTAATTACATAAAAACAATACTGCGTTGTCTGTTATTTTTGTACTGTACCAATAGTTAGGTTGTATTTTTTTTACTTAATTCATATCTTGCGATATTGAAGCATCTTCGTGATAAAGCGCACGCAAGCAAGCGCAATTTCTAAAAAAAAGAACTGATTTCTTGGAAAGTTCGGTACGTATGACGAGTACCGACAGTCGAGTTTATTTCTCGCTAGGACAATAAAGCGACCAAACAACGTACACACACAGCTCCGCAGTTTAAACTAATTTCGGCAACCTAATTAAAAATTATTGTCGTTCTTGAGTGTATCATTGTATGGAAGACAAGCAATACCAACCAAAGCCGACCGAGTCTTTCCGGATCTCATGAAACACAGTAAAGTAGTTCCGTTGTTCAAATCCGGTGATAGTAAAGAACCCAATAATTATAGACCTGTGTCAATTCTGCCAGCTCTCAGTAAGGTGTTTGAAAAGTTAATGCTCAATCAAATGTTATGTCACTTTAATAAAAACTCCATCTTTCATGAACAACAGTACGGTTTCACCAAAGGGCGTTGTACAACTGACGCCGGTGTCTCCCTAATCAAGAACATTTTTAACTCTTGGGAGGAAGCACAAGATGCCATTGGAATCTTTTGCGACCTTTCGAAGGCGTTCGATTGCGTAAACCATGAGACTCTTCTGCTGAAACTTAATCACTATGGGGTTAAGAACAAAGCTCTGGACTTACTAAGATCTTACTTGAAAAACAGACAGGTTAAAGTTCAGGTTAACGGCATAAACTCGTTAGGGTCTGAAATTACAATGGGCATTCCTCAAGGTTCAATATTGGGTCCATTCCTCTTTTTAGTATACATAAATGATTTACCCCAATTAGTTCAGAATAAACCGAAGATGGTGTTATTTGCAGATGACACATCATTGATTTTTAAAGTAGATCGACGGTCACAAAATCGTGACGACGTGAATAACTCTATTCTTCGGGTCCAAAATTGGTTTACGGTAAACAATTTGGCACTGAATGATAAAAAAACTAAATGTATTAGATTTACGTTGCCAAATGTTAAAAGTAAGGAATGTGACATAATGTTGAATGAAGGAAAACTGGAATTTATTAATCAAACGGTTTTCCTAGGCATCACGCTAGACGAGAAGTTACAATGGGGACCTCATATCACATCTCTTGCGGGGCGGCTGAGCTCAGCCGTTTATGCGGTTAGAAAGATAAGATATTTAACCAATGTAGAAACTGCGCGTTTGGTCTATTTTAGCTACTTTCACAGCATAATGTCTTACGGCATTTTACTGTGGGGTCGGGATGCTGACATAGAATCCATTTTTATTTTGCAAAAGAGAGCGGTCAGGGCCATTTATAATCTACGTCGTTGCGAATCTCTCAGGGAACTATTTAAAAAGATTAATATTATGACAGTACCTTGCCAATTCATTTATGAAAATATTATGTATGTAAGAAAGAATCTACATCTTTTTAGTAAAATAAATGAAAGACATAATTTTAGTATGTACTAGAAATAAAGATAAAATAGCTCAACCATCTTTCAGATTAGCCAAAGTTCAAAATTCATTTATGGGGTACTGTGTAAAATGTTACAATAAAATACCTTGTGACATTTTAAAACTAAATGAACGAAAATTTAAATGTTTTATTAAAAGTACACTTTGTAAACAAGCATATTACAAATTAGATGATTATATTCAAGATAAGAATGCTTGGAAACATGCTGGTCCTGCTCCATAGGACAATCCTATGATTGGCTCTATAGCCTGGACAAAATCAAATTGGTTGCTGATTTTTTGCTTTAACATATTTTTGTTATTATTATTATTATTTTTTTTTAATTTATATAATGCTACAAATGTAATTATTTTTTTTTGTATCTCACACACTGTTTTGTTGTGTTTTTTTAATATTTTTATTACTCTTTAATGTTAATATTCTAAGGTTTCGATATTTGTAAATATGTGAGGAACATGTATACTAACTTTTTTAGTATAGTAGTTTATTCTAAGAGTACATTGTCTTCACATATAATTATTTAACAAATGTAACAAAATATTGTAAACCTATTTTAAAAGAGTAAGTGTGGAGTTTCTTGCCCATTCTTCTCCACACGAAACTACCTTTTGGAAGGGGCAACTAGAATCATCTTTATATTTTTTTTTTTTTGACGTTCAAAAGTGCCATTTTAGATGGTCTAATTGAAATAAACGATTTGACTTTGACTTTGATTTCAACGCTTTAGGGATTTGTCGTTAAATCGAGAGACGTTACATGGAGTTTACACTGTATTTATGAAGGTATAAATAATAAAAAACAGCTATAGAGGAGAGAAATTTAATTTAAAAATTCTACGTTTTTCAGATGACATTCAATAAGTCCAAATGTCATGTTACACTCCATGTTGCTCTCCGACGCAATATTTTTTTATCGGTGTCAATATACAGATCTTTGCCGATTGTGCCTATAAAGAAAAAAAATATAAATTATGCAGCCGGTCTTAATATTTCTGCAATTTAATATAATAAAATCTAGTTTTTTGTAACTCACATCATCTGGTTCAGCCTGAAAAATTAGTTTTATATTTTAAAATAAAATTAGTAAGTTTCATAAAATGTATTAATTAAAAATGATTAACCGTTCCATCGCCCGCAACCTCTACAACTTCAGTCGGTGCCTGTAAAAAAATATTTTTGTAATATATTTTTCCACTCAAAGTATGTACGTACATTCAATACAAAATTTCGGTCTTGATCTCTGATTTCTGTATGAATAAATCATATTTCTCTACAAGCAAGTTGATCAACTTTTAAATGGATATCATTATGTACTGCAGGGTCCTGATGTAATCAAAACGATTGCATAGTAACGTTTGTTCACGATATGAAAATATACTAACCTCTTCCGCAGCCTCTTCTACCTCCTCCTCTACTTTAGTGTTGCTAAGCTAAAAAAATGTCTTGAATTAGTTTTTTGTTCATACGCAACGTACGCAAACACCTACGTATGACGTAGTCAATACCATTAACATGTTGAGAACATTTCGTCCATGGCAGGTTTATCTGTCGAGACTGGTTATACAGTGGCTGCGCTCTCTATTCGGTAACTCTCATGGGCAGAAGTTTCGAATTTCAAGCTATACGTTACATGCTCTTCTGTACTCGGAGGGTTTAAATCGCCAACTTCCTTTGCTACTATTGCAGATTTTTGTGTTTTATTTTGTATAATACATGAGACTCAAAATTACTTTACACTTACTTTTTCATATCTAGGCCTATAACTCCTTATAAATCTTCCACACGCTCCCAGAATGAAGCACGACAATAACAGGAACAAAATAAACTTCCTCGCCTCCATTATTAATGTTGCCACTCATATTAATCCTTTATATACCTTGAATATTATCGATTTAATTAACTACATAACACGATAATTGGCAATTTTCACATTTGTAATCCATTTTAATGCTTGACGATGTATATCCTAGCGAATATACATACTCTTTTAACATCCAACATTTCTTACTGTTACTTTGGCGTAGAACACATGTCCGTGTTTTTTTATAGATTCTTATAGGCAGAATGTTTAGCCTAATAATTGTCATTATTTTTTTGTTTATGACACTAGTCATGTAACCTAATGTTAATTAAGTAACATATATATATATACTGCTCAAAACAATTAGCGGAACAAGATTTTTCTCCTTTCTATTGCTTAAACTAAAATTAGATTTAAGTTAACTTGTACGCTATTTTTTACCTTGTTAATTTGTTAATTACTACAATTAACAAAAAAATTCAATTTGTATTTTTTTTATTAAAAAAAAATTAAAATGTGCATTGTAGACGAAAAACAAAGTGACGTCTTTGAACGTCTTTACGTAACCGCACCACTACTGCAAGAGATCTACAAAATACACTAAGGACGGCTACTGGTGTAGAAATTTCCGACCAGACGGTAAGAAATAGGTTGTTGGAAGCCAATTTGAGATCACGCCGACCAGTTCGGGCTGTGCATCTAACAATTCAACATAGACAAGCTCGCCGACAGTTCGCGCAAAATCACGCTAATTGGCAACTTCGACATTGGAGGCCAGTGCTTTTTACTGACGAACCACGATTCCGTCTAACACGTTGCGATGGTCATCTTGGTTTACAGACGCCCAGGCGAGCGATACAGTGCAGCAGCAGTCCAGGAATATGACAAATTTGGATGTGGCTCTGTGATGGTTTGGGGCGGAGTTAGTTTGGACGAGCGCACAGATCTCGTCGTTGTTCCCGGGCGCTTGTGTGCTCAAACTTACATTGAAAATGTGCTCGAAGATCATGTTTGGCCCGCAGCATATGGTATGGGCCCAGATTTTCTTTTAATGCAAGATAATGCCAGGCCGCATACTGCAGCCATCACGTCAGATTACTTACGACAGCAGGAAATCCGTGTAATGGAGTGGCCTTCCATGAGCCCTGACCTAAATCCAATTGAACACATTTGGGACTTGCTTGACAGGCGCATCCGGAAGCGTCCGATTGCACCTCAAACACTGCAGCAGCTCACTGAAGCTTTGATTGAAGAATGGGAGCGAATTCCACAAGAAGATATTCGGAGGATCATACGAAGCATGCCGCGTCGTTGTCAAGCCGTGATTAGGGCTCATGGAGGCCACACACGTTACTGAAAGTCACTAAAGACGAATATTCAAACGATATAAAAATATTTCTTTGATGGACCTTTTTTATCACCAATTAGTTTTTCGTCTACAATGCACATTTTGAATTTTTTTTTAATAAAAAAAATACAAATTGAATTTTTTTATTAATTGTAATTAACAAATTAACAAGGTAAAAAATAGCGTACAAGTTAATTTAAATCTAATTTTAGTTTAAGCAATAGAAAGGAGAAAAATCTTGTTCCGCTAATTGTTTTGAGCAGTATATATATATAATAGTATCAATCGTTTATACTGGGAATAAATAAGGCGCAACTGCGTTTCTCTGTGAATACAAAAGAAACAACATTTAAAGCCTATATTCTAGGTTTTATAAAGTAAAATAATATAATGAATAAATTAAAATATCTTACATATATTATGTCAAGTGACATAAATTAAACATCGTCGATCAGACGATAAAGACAACATTACGAAACAGTTTGTATAAATTACAATAAAGACAAGAGTTTGTACAGGAAAATATATTATGTTTTCCTTACATATATACTATAAATATATATATAATAATTATATATACTGGCTGACCCGACAAACGTTGTTTTGCTATGTATATTATTTCTAAGAAACATTGTGTTAGTTCGATAAAAATAACTATCTGTTATAATAAAAAATAGGGGTTGATCGTAGAGGTGAAAATAAAGGGTTGCAAATTTTTTTTTTAGGCTGGACACCCCTTATCACTTAGGGATTTGAAAGATAGAAAGAAGCCGATTCTCAAACTTACTGAATAGAAAAATTTTCATAAGAATCGGTCGAGCCGTTTCGGAGGAGTATGGGAACGAACAATGTGACACGAGAATTTTATATATTAGATATGTTACTTAATTAACAATTAGTTACTAATTAGAAGCAAAATGTAAGCAATCATCACACTTGAAGCCAATATGAGCCCTTTAGTTTTTACAACAGTTTTATTAAAACATCTCCATACAAAAACCGCCACCGAACTTAACTCACTTTTAAACATTGTTTTTATACAATGAGAACTCCATAACCTTGGTCGGTGAAGCTTAGCCAGTACACAAAGTAATTAATACGTAGGTAATCTAATAAATTATTTAGAATTTATAAGTATCAGAATAAAACTCCAGAAACTCATGCTGGTCAAATTTTAAAAGAAATAGAACAACTCTTGATTTTTATTGGCCGCAAATATAATTAAGAAACAATTCAATTTGATCCGTAGGATGTTTCATGGTATAAATAAAATACAATTTAATAAAAAGATTTAATACAATTTATTGAAATAATACATTAAATGCATGTTAATACAGTCTTCCAACTTGTCAATTTACTGCGAACTTTCAGTTTATACTATACCATTTTATCTATTTTAATAAAATTGTAATACAGGAATAATTCATTAAAAATCAATTTGAATATTACCTATTTTTAATAATTTGCTAAACGGAAATTGTTCTTAAAGTAAATAATATTAAGTAGATAGTATAACATAATATACAATTGAAACCTAAGTTAACTCGCTCGTGGGCCCAGCTTTCGCAGACACGACAAACCCTGAAAAAAAACTTTTTTTCATAATTTGGAAATTTTATAAGAATGTTATTCTTCTAGCTAACCCGGCAAACGTTGTTTTGCCCTGTATATTATCATAACTATCATTAATAAAACGAAGGGGTTGATCGAAGAGGGGTGAAAATTAAGGGTTGTATGTATTTTTGTATGATGTGTCAAAAAAATAAAAGCAATTTTTTTTATCGAAACAATAAAAAAATATTTTTGGGGTGGACACCCCTTATCACTTAGGGTTTTGAAAGATAGATAGTAGCCGATTCTCGGACTTACTAAATATGCATTAAAAAATCATAGGAATCGGTCGAGCCGTTTCGGTGGAGTATGGGAACGAACATTGTGACAAGAGAATTATATATAATAGACTAGCGGATCCGATACACGTTGTCCTGTACAGTGTACATGTCTTTCATTAAAAAAATATCGAATAAAGTAAATCTTTCTCGTCCCTACTTGAACACACAAAAATTTCATCAAAATCTGTCCAGCCGTTTAGGTGTTTAACGAACACATGCACAGAAGATTTATATATATCAGCTGTCTATTTACTGTATAGATAAATAACCTAGTTACCGACTGCAGCGCCATCTGCCGGGCAGATTTGTGAATCTAAACCAATTCATTTAAATCAGTCCAGCCGTTTAAGAGGAGTTCAGTGACAGACACACTTACAGTAAAATTATAAATATAAAAGATTTAAATACTCAAAAGCACCACTAAAACACATTTCGCCATGCTTTGATGTAAGCAAGTCAAAGCCGTCTGTCGATCAAGCCGAAACTGTTTCCCTGGGAATCGAACTTTATTACCAGCGAGTTATACACAATGTTACCAACTGTAGGTATATATTTAAAAGAACTAGACTGATTCAGAATGACTTGTTGCTTTTCCAATTTAATATGGCGGTACAAAATTAAAAGTTGACAAATTAGAACTTAAAAAGGTAAGTAAACAAAATGTCAGGATTACCTGTTCCTTATATTCCTGGTTTGTGAGCCAGAAGTTATCCCTGTTCTTACAGACTTCAGCCAACACAGCGCCACCTATGAACACCATGTCTTTGCGTCGCGGAGGATCTTCTATGCGTATCTTGAATTTCTGAAAACTCAAATTCATAGGAGCGTGGTACTATTTCGTGATAAAATAGACTGAGCAAAATATGTTCAAGATTTGGCTGGCAAAAAAGAAAAAAGTGCGTCCGTACAAAGTACACAGTACACATGTCAGAAGTGAAACTTCTTTGGCAAAGTAATTTTTAAGTCTTGTTCATATTTATACAAATCTAAGACTTTAGATTTCCGAGACTTAGAGGGAGGGAAAAGGAAGATATGTTAGGAATTTAATTAATTTAATTGTCATTTAAATATTAAAAGTGTAAAAAATTAATACAAATTATTGTTTTTTTTTAAAGAATTTCTATAAGGTAATTCGACCTTCTCACTCTCTCTCTCTCAATCAGTCTCAATCGCTTTCTCCCTTTTCTTCGACAAAAACGCTGCACATCTTTCTTTATTGTTCGAATATAACTCGTGTATGGCTGTTAATTGAACGGCTAATTAAGCTAGTTGGCTGCGACATATACACATTTACGAAATCCGTTACGCTCTATGATGCGTAGACGATTTTTGCCAAAACTATCGTAAAAGCATATTTTGATAGAAATAAACATTTATTTGATTATAGCACACATAAAAAACGAAATACTGATGTGTATGTGTGTAAATGTGTGATGTCATATTTTCTTGTATTTTTTAGGCACGTATACGTATAAATAAATAAAGAAATCAAAAATGGGCTAGACTAAGTTTTAAGTTGCGCCACCAGCAACACTGATATTCAATGGGCCCATTTTGACAAAGTGATTGTCTCTTTCTATCAAATCCTGACATCGCTGTGATAAAAAGAGACAGACAAGTATAGTTGAAAACAATGCATTTGCACTGAATTTTTATGAAAATATAGTAGATAATTACTAAGTAAAAATTAAAATTTGTAAGAATTTTTTTTAAAAGATTGTAATTAATAACTTAAAATATAAATGCTTAATTTAAAATTAATTATAAATTATAATTCCTTTAAATACTCACGGCCAATTTGTCGCAGTCATTTTTCAGCACTCGTTCGAGATAGAGCTGCTTGATTTCCCTCTCGAGCCGGGAAGGCAGCCCTGGGTACATCGTGGAGCCCCCGGATAACACTATGTGCTTGTATAACTCGTTCCTCATATCTATGTCGGCGGCCTATGATTTTAATATATGTAAGAGTATAGCCTCTACGCGCGCTTCAACACTAGTGGATGCACAATTTTGTTCGTGTATATTTCGTTTAAAATGGCGTATAACGTTCGTTGAGCAGTGTTGGCCTAGTGGCTTCGACGTGCGACTCTCATGCCTGAGGTCGTAGTTTCGATCGGTAGAGTAGGTTCGATCCCCGGCTGTGCACCAATGGACTTTCTTCCTATGTGCGCATTTAACATTTGCGCGAACGGTGAAGGAAAACATCGTGAGGAAATTGACATGTCTTAGACCCAAAAATTCGACGGCATGTGTCAGGCACTGGAGGCTGATCACCTACTAGCCTCTTAGATTTAAAAATAATCATGAAACAGATACAGAAATCTGAGGCCAAGACCTAGAGAGGTCGTAGCGCCACTGATTTATTATTTTTTTTATTTTATAACGTTTTTTGACACTATACGTACGCAAATAAAGTCAAAAAAATCCAAATATATATAAAATTTGTTAATTAAAAAAATGAAGGTAATAATTACCTGTATGGTATTAAAAACCAGTTCAGCAATGCCCTGCCCCTCCACATTAATCAGATGAGGCTGAAACAATGCTTCCGGGGCCTCGAACCTCTCACCACCGACTTTGATCACTCTCCCATCAGGAAGCTTTATACACAAATAAATAAGAGGGAAATTACTTTTTTATATTTAAACTCAAAATCGAAAAGACTATTCATATAGGTAAACATGTACACTTATGAACGTCAACAGAAAAAATGTTAAATTGATTCTAAATTTACATTTACTACCAGTTCGCAAGTCAAGGGCATAGAGCGGGCAAGAAGAACTGGCCAGAAACTTTCCGCCACTTTTTTAATCGCTAAGTTTTGAGTCATACAAATTGTTTGAACTGGAGCAAATCAATGCCAAGGATTAGGATCATTTAAGTATTCGTCAAATTTATAAAAAGCTTTATTGAATAATTTACGTTTAACGAGAGTTTTGTATGAGTGGTAATTCTCTAATTTCGCTAGGGATCATTTTTATATAGGTTGGTCGTACGCTTAGATTAGTTCTCTTTCGAGTATTATACTGGTGAAACCATTTGTTTTAAAATTGCTTATATTTTTTGTACATACAAGGCTTCAAGAGTATATTGACCAGATGTTATATAGCTCAAGAGAAAAAACATTTTTATGTAGTTCTTCTATGACAGATTTAGACCTTACCACATAAGGTTCCACGAGCACAGTGGTCTCCCAGGCCAGCCTTTGCTCCTGTTCCACGTTGTATCCGATGTAACAGAGCTTCTCCTTCATCATCCGGACGGTTTCAAAGTCAGCTGAGTGGTTGAACGCATAGCCACGGAGCAGGAGTAACTGAAATTTGTTAGATTGTTTGTTAGAATGTTTGATTGTTAGATTGAACACTACTTGTTCAGTAGTAGGAAAAATATTATCTTAGAACCCGAATTTATTTTACGCTGAAGAGCGCGCACTAGGCTAAGAAATTCATAATTTCACCCGCGCGTCTCCCTCCGCCCACTCTAGTGGCTATTGAAACAAACTTACGCTTGAAGTTCGCGTGAGATGAGACGGACGATACAGTGTTTTTCGAAAAGAAAATGAAGTAAACGCAAAATGCTTTTTATTTAAATAAACGATTAAAATATACAATATTTAATAAAATCGCTAGTATCAGCTCTTGTCCAAAATAATGTGCTGTAAATCAATAATTTTTTGGCTCCATGATTGAACAAAAACGAACTTTGTATTTTTTTCTTGTATCGAGGAATTTATATTGTATTGTGCTTTAAATTAGAGTCAACCATTGAAATTATAGTGAAGGATAATTACAAATATTGTGTTTAATTCAAACATCACATACTGTGATAAAATCAAATCTACTATGAATGATTTTGGTTAGTGCCCGCTCTTAAGGTAGTTATTACTATACTACATTTTAAGTAAATTATGGTCTATAATGGCAAAGAGTTTATAAAAATAATTTTGGATATAAATAGATTCAAAATCATATGTTGGTAGGAACAGTTTGTCAGAGAAAACCAACAAATTTAACAACAAGCACGACAAAATTAAAAAAAAAACCTGTTGATAGATTGCCTGCTCATACAAACATTTGTATTGCTCAAATATAAATGTCTTCGGTAAAGCAGAATTGCATTTATTGAAAATAGTTCAATAAATGCAATTTATTACCCACCTTAATAAGGTATCTGGTGATATCTCTACCAGCGATATCTAATCGACGAGTGAGGTGAGGAAGAGCAAACTCTTCATACACCGGACAAATGTGAGTCACACCATCACCTGTAAACAAAATTTGTACATTAAAGTATAGTTATATAGAGCAAAATTTTATTTTTGTACATCATAAACTTAGGTACTATGAACATCAAATAGTTATTAAAGTTGTCAGAATATAGTGTTTATGGATAGAACCACAGACTACAAATTTCTTTAAGGAAATCAGATAAAAATGAGGTTTTAGTTTAAAATACAAAGTACTTTTGATCAATATCTCATACCTGAGTCAACTACAACCCCAGAGATCAATCCCTGCGCATACAATGTCAGTACAGCTTGAATTGCTATGTACGCACTGTCAAATCCATATTTCTCAAACATCACCTAAAAATTTAATTTAATTATTTTATTGTATTAATTTATAAATCAACTTCGTGTCACAATCACATACCTCAATCATTTTCTCCCTATTCTTAGTGGGGTTCATGGGTGGTTCAGTGAGCAAAATCTTAGTTTCCTTTGGATCAACATTCATTTTACTAGGTCCAAATGTGTAGTCCCATACATGACACATATCTTCCCAATTGCGTACCACCTGTGAATTTTTATTCACATAAGCAGGTTCTCTTAATTTCTTATATTTTAGTTTTTAATTAAAATCAGAATAATAGAAGTTCTTCATACATTACAGCAATTTCTCAAAAATGTATAAGAAAAACAGAATTGCCACTTTATTTAAGGAATTTTCTATCAGAAGTTACATCTTACAAAAAAAATATAATCTTACCCCATTTTCCATAGGATAGCTGACTTCCAACATTGACCTGAGCTGAGATGCCTCATCACCAACCATTAAGTCCTAAAAACAATATCATTTGTGTAGATTATTTGAATTAGACATCATACATTGTGTTAAATTATGCACACAAATTTAGATTGTTAGAACACAATTCCTACCTATTTATTAATTTTAATTTTATACAAAATTTTGTGACCACTTTTGAAGTGCGCTTGTAAGTTAGAGATTGGTTAAGAGCATTGGCTTACATTTGTGGTTACTTAAGTCTAATAAACATTCAATTAATGTTAACCTATAAATAATATTTACTTAAAACACATGCCTTAGCATTGAACCCTTAACTGTATTCTAAGTCACAACACACTGATAATAACTAAAAAAAGGTTTAAAAAAATTAGGGCATAGAAATGGGCTGTTGTTTACTGATTGCATATTTCTGATAGTGATATTCTTGATAAAAATTAAAGCTTAGCTACTTGTGAAGGTTACCTGCACAACTTCAGGGTCAAACGTCTGGCAAGCATGAAAGTTTTAATTAATATTATGGCAAATAAACCATATATATTATATAAATTTTATTGATTTATTTAGAGTGCACTTAAAAAGGGTAGGGGATTTTCTTGTAAGTAATACTTGCCTGTTTTGCACCCTTTATTTGAGAACTGTTAGTAAATGTAAACTTAGACTCACTCAAGTTTTGTTTTAGAGATTCATAATATACATATATTACATATGTTATATGAGTAAATTAATTATGATTTATTATGTAAATAAATGTCAAATACATAATTGGTATTCTCATAATTTTTAGATGATTTTTTACACTACAATATTTTATATTTTTAGTAGAGAAGGAATAAAAAATATAATAATAATTATAATATATAATACTAAGTAATTATAAATTAGACTATTTTTCATGTTCTTATTTAGTAATTTGTTTTGATTGAACACAGGAAGGACCTACTCAGGTAATTTGTAACCTAAACCCTTGATTTTTGTTAAATCTTTGCATTAAAATGTTAGTATAAGGTACACACAATAATAATACATTCAAAACCTTATCAACTTGTATTCAAAGTAATGTCAAACATATTACAAACAGTTTTCAATAGCTCCCAAAAATGCTTCATGCTTTTTTATTTTATTACAATAACTTGGAAATAACATGCTATGAGATAAGTATTAAAGACCTGTAACGACTTCTCTAACTTACTCCGATACAAACATCCTGTAATATAACAAATTTTGTTGTAGTAGAAGAATAAGTAATGTATACTTTCAATTTGTATAATATTATTAATTAAATATTAATTCTTAATTTAAAAAACAGTAACTATTGACATAACATTTATATGTAATCTTCATCAGTAAGATTTTTAATTTCGTGAAAGTGTAAACACAGTCTAGGCGTGGTTTGTATAGATTAACAATTTTATGTTCTTATTTTGGTGGACTGTATTATTCGTTAATAACAATTTATTGTTTACGTTAAAGATCATCAGTCATCCATGAGCCCTAAGAGGAAGTCAATAAACGGATATCAATGATTCATACCTTGACATCGATTTCACCGATTTTGTTTTCTGCTCTGATGATCGGCCTGCCCACCATCGACGGGAAAATAAACGCAGGAAAGTTGCTGCCTGCATATCCACATTTGACGAACTGGAAATAGTTTTCCGATGATGAATCAATCTCTTATCGGAATATAATGCAACAAATTGTAGATTTCTCTTGAACTTACACCAGTGCCATTGTCACAGACAATGACTTTCCTTCCTTGGTCATCCATTTTAGGTTTTAAACTTATTTAAGTATTTAAATGGTAAATAAAATAAATAATTTGTATTATTTTATTAAATTCTAAATTCGGCTCCCCCACAACACAACCCCAGTTGAAGTTTTACTTATGAGTTATGACTATTGACATTAAAATGATGTTAATTGTTATGAAATGTCAAATAAATTGTAAGTGGCAAAAGGTTTATAACTGCTAGCTGATCGAGCCTAGCAATTCCCCTAGTCTGTGGTGATTACTGGATTTAACTTTTTCACGTGTGTTTATTTTGTGTATATAAAAAAATAGTTTTTATGAAATGAATGTATAATTATATTAACTTTCACAATGAGTAAACATATAAGATTTGAAGAAAATATATTAGTTGATGAAGACTACACAAACTTTGGAAAAGAAGACAAAAACGCGGACCACAAAAAAGGTTATGGTATAGCCAGGAATTTTGCTGAATCTCTTGATTATGGAGAGAAAAAGAAATGGTATCAACAGGTAAAAAAGTTAATCAGCATCTTACACAACAGTATATTGACAATAAAACATTTTTAAACAGGTGTATTAACTTTTACTGCTCTTTAGATGCCTGAAGAACCATCCACAACTACCAAAACATTGTCACATTTAGAGCTAGAAGCATGTAAAAAAGAAGCAAATAGTGCTTTACATGGAGATACTTTGGCATATGAAACAAGTAAGCTGTGATTTCTTTAAATTAATTACTTTTGTGAAGAAGTAACTTTTTAACACAAAATATGTTTACAAAAATTTACATATTTCTTTACAGAAGCCAGTAAATCAGGTACTTCTGACTATCAATGGGCTAAAACACTTTTAAATAAAGGTACTATTGGGGATAGGGTGGCTGCAGCAACTATCCTTATACAGGTATTTTTCTTATTTAATGTTAAACTATCACAGTTACAGTTATAAACATTCTGTATGTTTGTTCAGCTTAACTCAGCTTGAGGTTAAAAAATTATATCACAAAGTTCTAACATGTTTTAGGATAATCCAGTACACAATTTAAATGCATTGAGGAATTTAGTAAATAGTGTGAAACCAGCCAAGAAGAAAGATGGTATTGTTATAATAGGTAAGAATCTAAGTAATAACTTATTTATTTAAACTTTGTTACATTAAAAGTTAAACATATAACATAACTTATTAGGGATGCAAAAGGCAGCCTTATAGCTAACAAGTGATCTCTTCCAGGCAAGCCTAGTAAGGTAAAAACTAAAAAAAGAAATATTAAGGGTAAAGTTCAAGAAGTGCATATTTCAAATGAAAAAAAAGGACACCCTTAAAATATAGTAGATAAGGAACAATTTACATGTTTTAAAATGTATTCAATGTTTATTGGTAATTTATCGTTATTTCAGATGCGCTGTCAGAGCTTCTTATATCAGAATTATTAATACCTGATGTAAAATTGCGAACATTTGAACAATATCCATTAGGGCATTTGGATGAAATGACATCTGGCAACAAACAAGCACGCAGGAATATTCTCAAATTATGGTATTATGCAGATCAGCTAAAGGAATTATACGGATGTTAGTTACACTTACGTAAATTAATACATATTATAATAAAATAACTAAACATATCTATAAACAATTATATTTCCACTTGTATTAAAGACATAAGTGTTTTTCCAGCATATGTGGAAGCTTTAAACAAATTCGCCCATGATTCAGTAGAAGCCAACAAAGAGAAGGCTGTTAGTGCCATGTCATATCTCTTGATGCATCATCCAGAGAGGGAAAAGGTAGAAACCATTTTCATAAATCAATAAATATCCAAAGAAGACTAATACATTTTAGAAAAAAGCAATGGTGTTTCAAACATACCAGTATAACAATAAATCTGTTTAAAATTAAAACATAACTGATACAATAACCTCACTTCAATATGTTAATAACCAATCTTTAATGTATATCCTTTTTATTTTATCAGACTATTATTTTAAAAATATTGAGCATAGATTTTAGATAATAGAAACTAATTTATTCTGTGCTAAACATAGGTCAGTTACATACATTAAATTTTTTTAACATGATATTTAAAAACTTGCAAATTCTTCTTTTTCAGATGCTACTATCAAATATTATAAACAAACTTGGTGATCCATCCCAGACTGTTGCATCAAAAGTGATCTATCATTTATGTCAGTTATTGTACAATCATCCTAACATGAAAAATGTGGTTTTAGCAGAAATTGAGAAAATGCTGTTTCGGTAAGCTTTTTAACCTCGTCACAAATATACAGTTATCACTGCTACTAAACTGTTGTATTTAATTAATTGTTTGATTAGACAAACAATGAATGAAATACAACAGTTGAGTAGCAGTGATGGACAAGGCGATCAGTTTCGTGGTTAATAAATAAATTAATAACAAATATTTTTTTTATAATTTTAGGCCGAATATATCACCGCGTGCGCAGTACTACGGTGTATGCTTTTTAAATCAATTTTATTTGGGCAAAGACGATTCAAAGATAGCTGAAGGCCTAATACGGATATATTTTTCATTCTTTAAGGCATCAATTAAAAAGGTAAGGTTTTATATGAAACATTAACTTTTGATGTAGTCTAACTTTAAAATTCCAATATGTAAATGTTTTAAATATTTTCTTCACTCGGCAATGGTGTACCATGCAATAATGTGTTGGCGCATGCTGTTTAACCCTATAAACATGAAAACATAATGATTTGTGAAATGATTTTAAAAATGTACAAATTTTTGGCTTTAACCTTACCTAATGTAATTCACTGAGACCCACTGGGAACTGAGACAATATCTTTTACATCATGAATGTAATACATTTTCCGTTTTTTTAAGGGGTTTAAAGCCTCCTTAATATTATTTGGGATACATGTAAAGAACGATAGAAAAAAACTTGGAGCTGTTTTAAGGTGAATTCGTGATTCGACAAATTTATTATATGTATTCTCTTTTTATTTATCATTTTATTTGAAAAAATATTCGTTAAATAGAAAATGGAGTCTAGCTACTACTTCGATTCTCTTTTTATACTTTTCGCACAAATAATTAAGTTTGTGTTGCCATGCGTGAGGTTGCACTGTTTAATTTTGATTTATACTTTAAATACTATTGTATATTTTAAATATATTTACACGAGATCATAGTATGTTCCTTTTAATTGAGATTGTAACTAGTGTAATTGGACACTTTAACTTTCAGGGTGAAATCGATTCCCGTCTGATGTCAGCTATTTTGACGGGTGTCAAACGTGCCTACCCCTTCGCGGATAAAGAGAGATTGGTAGACACCTCTGCTCATATCGACGCTATTCACAGGTAGGTTGCACAATATAAGTTAATTTCAATAATAAATCTGGTGAACTTCTTTAAAGTCATTGGAATTTTGATATTTCTTCTTTGTGTTTGATGTCCCAATGTCCTTCAAATGGACTCTTTCTTTATTTTATTATAGATGTTTTTTGCACTGTATCGAACAAGTAACAATTATTGTTTCGCGTTAAATACAAGCCAAGCTGTGTTTCTCTAGTGACTTTTACCCTTGTGGTCGAAGGTTCGTACGTACTCAAAAAGTCGACGGCGAATGTCAGGCACAGAAGGCTGATCTTCTACAGGCTTATTAAGAAAAAAGAAAGAGAAAAAAATCTGAGACCAAGGGTTGTAGCGGTTTATAAAATTGTATCACAGGTAAAAAAAATATAATTTTACAGATTGGTACACTTGGCTGGAATTAACGTGGCCATACATGCGCTGGCGCTTCTATTTCACGTCAGCGATACGTCGCAAGGTATCAGTGATAGGTGAGTGTGACTCCCTTACAATATTTTGAACCGACTCTTAGTTTATTAAGCAATTTTTTAATAAATTAATTAGTTTTAATTAAATGTTTGTCCCATGACTCTTTTACAAGACAAGTTAATTCAGGTCCTAAATCCTATTTACTCATTTTTCCTTGTATTTTGATATTAAATCATCGATTTATTAGACGTTTTCACGTCAAAAGGTATATTAAGAAAATTATTATTTTCGAACAACAATTCTGGCCATTCAACGTTTTAGCATAAACAGTTTCAATTAAAAATCTAGTTTTAAATCCAATTAAATAACTGTTTCTTTTAGATATTACTCAGCGCTATACAAGAAACTAATCAACCCAGAGATCTTCAGCACCGCCCATTCCGCTCTTCTCTTCTCTCTCATATACAAGTCGTTAAAGCAGGACAAAAATGTGGACAGAGTTGTCGCGTTCGTTAAACGGTTGTTGCAACTGTGCTGTTATATGACGCCCGGTCAAGTGTGTGGTATGCTGTTTTTGGTGTCACAGGTTTTGAAGGATGCAAGCAAAAAAGATGCTCTCAATTTGACATGGACAAAAAAGGAGGTTAAGGTGAGTTGCATACCAATTCTAAAAGGAATGAAAATCTGCATATATTTATTTATTTACACTTTATTACCATATACAAAAACATACATATATAAAAAAATCAAAAAAAAAGGTTACACAAGTTATAAGGCATTGGGCGGCCTTATCGCTAACAAGCGATTTCTTTCAGGCAACCCTAATATGGAACAATAAAAAAGAAACACCTACAGAGGGTAGAGTACAAGAAGTGCATAAATAATTAACAAAAAAAACTCAAAATAACACGTAAATAGAACATAAATAAAATAATGTAAAATCTAAACAAAAATTTAAAAGCCAATCAAAAGGTTAACTGAGTCACAAAAATTAATATATATATATAAGTAGAGCTAATTACGATATAATGCTAATTTAAAAAAAAAATCATTTTTTTAAAAACTCTGTCGCATTTCTTGGACTTGCACAAAAAAAGTTTCCGTCAAAGATTTATTGATATGAAACAGTAATATATTATAGTCACTCGTAAATACATATAAATATTTTTTTAAATTTCAGGCAGAAGTAGAAAATTCCGAACCGGTAGATCTGGATGGAGAAGACTTAGAAACGTCTAAAGAAGAATCACAACCTGAAGAAAATGTTAACGATACAGTTGAAGAAGTTGAAGAGAAGAAAGAGAATAAGAAAATCGATTTACTGATAGGAGATAAGAAAGATCTTTTAATAGGTGAGAATAAATATACATTAACCCTTAAATGTCTTCAGTTTCAGACAAATTATTAAGGCTTTAAAAAATTATATGATTCTGATTTTACATTATTGTCATTTTTTAAATATAGGCATACAGCGCACGAAAAGAACTGGCAATAAATCGATTACTTTGTCTTACTTTTACATAAATCAAATTTATAGAAAAGAAAAAAAATTGAGCCAATGTAATCTCCACGAAAGTAACATTGACAACACTTCGGCTGTCAATGACATTTAGCACCTTTCTCTATCCGTCATTGTGCAGGCTAAGGCACTCTAACGGTGCGTACAGACTATATAACATAACATGTTATACAACATGTTTCAGATAATGTGGACACTGAATGTTATAAAACATGTTATAATAACATGTTATTGATATGTATGCTAGGACGAACCCAGCATCTACGTTTTTTTGTTTTTCTTTTGTTATTTAAAATGATTATATAAAATTGTTATATTGCATTGTTATTCTAATGTGTACAGTATTGTTTTATGTTATAATGTTAAATAACAAGGTTACATAATGTGGACGTGTTATAAAACACAAGTTATATAATATGTTACATAGCCTGTAGGCATCCTAAAGATGGAGATAGATAATTAAAATAAAATATTATAATTAACCAATCAGGTTTTAAGCCACTTAAGGTGTAATTTCTATTAATACAATAAATAATTACAATCTAGTCTAATATTGTAATTTCATACTAAGATAATTTCGAAATTTTATACTTCTTGAATTTATTTTTGATGCATATTTGTTATTACATTTCAAAGTGAGTGCACACCAATAAACTAAGGTTTATAATCGATATTAAGGTAAATCTAAGTTTATCCTAGGGGGGAAAATTATGTAGGCCTTGGCATCACTAGTGTCAAAAGATTAGAAGAACCATTTTTTCTGTATGAAATTTCACATTCGATAGCGCTCAAGACGAGATTATGACAATACGAATTAGAATATGGTCCTAAATCTTATTTAACTTAACCATACAATTCCTTTTCACTATAGATGACGAAGAAGAATCGTACGTAGATCTAAAGATAGACCAGGAAGGTAACATAAAGCCAAAAAAAGAGAGCCGCTTCCTCTGTCAGCGGATCATGGTATCATGCCAAAGTGAAAACTGAAGACGTAAAGGATAAAGAAGTGGAGACCAAGATACAACTTAAAAAAACAATTAATATGGAAAGGGTGAGTTCTTAATGTAATAAAATTTGTATGTAACGCGTAAACCCAAAAAATCCTAAAGCTATTTCAATATTTTTTTTACCTTTATAATGCTACATAAAATGCTCAGGCCGGCAACGCATCCACTTAAGTGGGTGTTCATGGGTTAGGGTATACAAAAAAAATAAAAAGTGTAGTGTGTAAGTACACATGTCAGAAGTGAAACTTCTTGGGCAAACTAATTTTTAAGTCTTGTGTCATATTTATACAAATCTAAAACTTTACATTTCCGAGACTTAGAGGGAAGGAAAAAGGAAAATATGTTAGGAATTCAATGAATTGAATTGTCATTAAAATATTTAGTGTCGAAAATTAATACAAATTTTTTTTAATCTTAATATATATATTTCTTCTGTGCGTGTGTATGTGACCGAACTCCTCTCAAACGACTGGACCGATTTTGATGAAATTTTTTGTGTGTGTTCAAGGGGATCTGGGAATGGTTTAGATTCACAAATCAGCCCGGCAGATGGCACTGCAGTCGGTACTTTCATACTTTGCTTAATATCCTAATCGCTTTAAATATCATGCAGGACAACGTCTGTGGGGTCCGCTAGTTATATAATAAAAACGCGTGGAATGTTAATTTTCAATTCGTCAGTAAATCATTTTGCATAAAATATAAAATACTAATATTTCATACATTCTCTTTACGGCAATTCGCCCTTCTCACACTCTCTCTCTCAATCGGTCTCAATCGCTCTCTCCCTTTTCTTCGACCAAAACGCTGACACTAATATTATTATTATTGCGTTTCATTTTAAAATGCGCCTCATGCGCCTAAAGAAGTTTCTCTTCAAAAACATTCTCCCTAAATAACGTGTACTTTAATTACTATGCTGGTAATTTTTGTCTTGAAATTGTCATCTCAAACTATGACCAGGCCGAAATTTACAATCAGTTTAATTAATATTAAATGAGGCTTACATTAAAATCTTACTTGAATGATATGACCTAACATTGTTTGAATTGAAATTTATAAAATTGAACCCATTTTCGTAACCATTCTTTATAGTGAGCTGTTCCGGAAAGCATAATCAATATAATTATAAAACTGATAGTAACGATTTAATTCACCAGTTTTCTGTGATTGTAGGTAATCTCCGAATACAACCCTTTCGCTCGGAACCCGGCCTTTTGTGGCGCCACCTGCAGTGCCTACTTGGAGTTGCTGCCACTGGCTGCGCACTTTCATCCCACAGTTAAATTGTTTGCTGAAAAACTTATTAATAGTGAGTATTATTAATATTTAAACTTTGTTTCTTTTCCAAGTTGGTCCGAAACCATTCTGATGCGAGCAGTATAATATCTATATAATATCATATCTATCTATATCTAGATGCATGTTAATCAGAATTTCAGAGAACTTTTGTTTACCCATCCAAAAATTTGTTTTGTCAAAAATCCATGTCTTCTGGAGTAGTTAGAAGCGTATTTCAAAGTATCTTTCTATATTTGGCATCGTTATCCAGAAATATATTGATGTGTTCATGAATAAGAGCAGTGTCGGCCTAGTGGCGTCAGCCACTATCATCCTTGGTCGATCCCTGGCTCCAATGGATTTTCAGTCTAAGTGCGTCTATATGTGTGTATTTAACATTCGCTCGAACGGTGAAGGAAAACATCGTGAAGAACCCGTCAGTCAGGCACAGGAGGCTGATCCCCTACTTGCCTATGAGATTGACAAATGATCATGAAACAGATTCAGAAATCTGAGGCTTAAAAAAATTGTAGCGCCATGGGTTTGTTTTTTGTTTTATTCATAAGAAAATGTATTCAATTTCAGATCAAATAATTCAATACCAAGGTGATCCGCTAAAAGATTTCTCCGGGATTAGATTTTTGGATCGTTTCGTATTCAAGAACCCGAAGAAACCAACAGACAATCAGGATGATGGGCAGCTGAAAAAAGTTAAAGGGTCTCATCCCAAGTTCGCCGTCAGAAAGAATTATGTGCCTAAAGGTAAGAAGTATTGCCTTACGGTTCCCAAAATTCCTCTCTTCAGTCGGTAGCTCATGTCTGAGCGTCGTGGTCAGCAAGAAAGCGCCTGGAGCGGATAATCAGTTTCCACCGGTTTCTGTCCAGCGCCTCTCTTATGACACACAGTTTTGAGGACGATGAGTCTTTCACTTGATCGGTCCATCTGGTTGGTGAACGGCCACGTGACCTTTGAACTTTCTTCTGTGTTACCAACCACGATCACTTTCTCCAAGTTCTCATCACCTCTGCGCATTGTACGGCCGAAAAAGGATATAATTCGTTATCGATAGACGGGCTAGTCCGTATGCGGAGTTGGATCAGGATAGTTGTATTTCCCAAAATACCACTGATTATGCCAGGTTGCCATATAAAAAAACCAAGCACTGGATCCTTTAATAATTGTGAAAAGAAAATGTATTCAGCCTAATATTAGTGCGCACGCGACAGCGATATATTTGAACTACTCATCCTTGCCGGAACACCACCTACCATTTCCGGTTGTCATCCAATTCTTTGACTGATACCGATTTACTGCAAACAGTCTTCTTTTGTTTCTCTCTATCAAATTGTGTTAACGCTTAAATGAAAAGAGACAAGTATCTTAATGAAAATAGATTTTTTTACTATGCCATTTATATAAATTATATATATTACAGGACTTAGGAGTATGCCCGTGAATTCATCTACGTACTTGAACGAGGACGTTGCTAAGATTCCTGTTGATGAGCAGTTTTTATATCAGTAAGTATATCTATTCTTATAGGGGAAAAAATAATAAAAATTGTGATGAGCTGGATATGGATATTTGGTTAATTAAAGAACTTATTTGGTTAATTATAAAACATATCAAAGATCAATCTGACCGCACAGTTTCAATTAGCATATTTATTTGTCTCTTTTCATCACAACGTAAAGACATTTTGACAGATAGAGACGAAAAAGTATTAGTAGAAACGACGCAATTCGATTTTTTATAAATTAATTTGTTTAAGTGATATTCAAGCCCATATATAAGCGAATGTAAATGGGTAGCGTTCAAGTATTACGTCACGCAATTTTTGGAGATTATTGACCCCCCCATGTAACGCGCCGTAACGTTTTTCTGTAGCCAATAGTAAAACGTTTCGTACTTGAATGCTCCCTGAAACATTCACTTTTTAAACGATTATACATATACAATAATCGTATTTTTTCAGATTCCTTCAAAAGCGTCGTAAAGACGCAGAATCTGATGACGAAAGCGACAACGATTCGGTGACGAGTGAGGACTTCGAGAAATATCTTGATTCTGTCACTGGAACTAAAGCTAAAGGTACTTAATTAAGATAAAAACTCGTTTAATTAACACTTCGTCGCATATAAACATAAAACTTAGGAAAGGCGATGGACAGTCGAGTGATAACTTCCTCTAAATCAAAGTAATTAAAAAAGTTTATTCCTACGTCATTGATTTTTCAGTTTTTACTTTCTCAACCTATGAAATGAACTATTGTTTATAAGTATTTATAACCTCCAATTTACTTCACGCTGTAGACAAGGACCGCGTTATATGAAATCGCGTTGTAGAAGTATTCTCGTAAACAATTCAAAAACAAGGAACACGAATTTATTCAAGTTATTTAGTTTACTTTTATAACACACTTGAAGGTGCAAAACACAAAATTAATTATGGACTTGACAAATGATTGTTAATTTCATACTACAGAAATATAACTTGTGAAGTATCCGCGTTATAGAGAGGAAATATCGCGTTTAATGGGGGACGAAAATCGCGTTATAGCTAATAACTGTATTTTAACCACTAAGAACCGATGAATGATTAACCGCTATGTGTATGTTTTTAGAATCTGACGAAGAATTGGACTTTATGTCTGAAATGCAAGCGACATTACAAAAGAAGCCTAAAAAGGGTGAAGAGGGCAGTGATGAAGAAGTTGATGATGAGGGTGCTGACGATGAAGATATCCCAGGGGGTGATGATGGTGAGTATTATATATACAATGCATAAAATAAATAATAAATCAGTGGTGCTACAACCTCAGATTTCTCGCCAATCTAATACAGGCCAACACTGCTCAAATTTTACTACTTATTTTATTTTTACTACAAATAGCATATAAACCAACTTAAATCTGTATTAATTACTAAATTATTAACTTAAGTCGGGTCAGAAGGTTTTCATCCAACATGGACTTCTTAAGAAATATATTTGATTTAAATAGAAAATAATATAAATATATATACCTAATAATATAGATTAATTTATTTTAGTAGATGACAGTGACGGTGAACTTGATTTGTCTGGCGATGATGACGAACCTATGTTATCTGGTGAAGATGAAGATGGTATGTTAATCAAACTAGTAATTATGTATATGTTATTGAAACAGATATATGTATTAGCAAGTAATTTATTTTATATTTTTTTCATAGAACTACAATTGGAAAATAGTGATGATGATGATGACATAGTTGATGTTCCTGGAAAGAAATCTGGCAAGACGAAGAAGTTGAAAATTAAAGGTACACGATTTTAAAACAAATGGTGACTTTCACCATTATAATACGCGAAACAGAACTAATTTGAGTGTAAGACCAACCAGGCTCCAATAGATAAACCATTCCTGGTATGGAAATTGTATTCGTTTTTACAACAAACTCCCAAGCGAAATTAGAGAATTATCACTAAATAAATTCAAAGCCCTCGTTAAACGAAAATTAATCAACAAAGCTTTTTATAAATTTGAGGAATACTTAAATGATCCTAATCCTTGGGATTGACTTGCCCCAGTTCAAACAATTTGTATGACTCAAAACTTAGCGATTAAAAAAAGTGGCGGAAAATTTCTTGCCCGCTCTACGCCCTTGACTTGCGAACTGGTAGTAAATTTACAATTAATTTAACTTCTTTTTTTTGACGTTCATTAATGTACTTGTTTACCTTTATGATATAGGTAATAAATATATTTTGAGTTTAATATAATAAAATAATTATAATGCGGTGAACAAATATCGTCTTAATAAAGAGATTAAGTAATAATTGAAATATTTATAACTAGGACAATCTTTGAATATGTAATTATGTTTTTTTTCCTGAAGAATACAATCAAACATAGGTTTCATAATACATGACACAAATTTATGAAAATGCATTGAAGTGTAAAAACATGATAAATATATCTCTAGACTACTATATCTCTATTTTTTTTCTAAATCAACAGGAGGTGATGATCTCGGTTCCTTATTCGCGTCAGCAGAGGAATTTTCAACTCTTTTAGAAGAAACTGCTACAAACAAAAAACAGGGTTCAAGTCAAGCTGTCTCAAACACAGACAATTCCAGTGTAAAACAACTAGCGTGGGAAGAAAATCGCGATAGATGGATAAAAGGCTATAATAAAAATATTCTTGGTAAGAAAACTAACAAGAAGCGCTTTAACAAGAATAAGGGACCTAAAATGGCAGACAAAAGTGACAAACGGAAAGGCGGGAAAACAGATGGCGCTGGTGGAAAGAAGAGAAAAACTCGATAGGTTAAATAAAGTTTGACGAATGTATATTGTTTTTCATTTTTAACAAAAATATTTTTTTAAATAAAATAAATGTCTTGATAAATTTTCACTTCCCTCTACCAGATTTGATCAGTGCAAATTCATTCTGTAGGTGATAATTATCGTTCATTAAAAGCTTAATACATAATGTAAAAAAGTACCCCACAAACTCGTATTAAGAAATAAGATCGATAAACAGCTAAATAGGAAATACTTCATATTGGATATCATTGCGAATATCACGTAACCTAAAATTGCTGAACCCGGTATATAAATCGACCTTGACATATTGTTTCTCCGTGGTGGCGTTGCCAGCGGTCTGGCAAATCATGACAAGCAATTATCAACTCTAGCCTATGTAAACTACGTTTGTTTCAGATCAATTTCTGACATTTGACAGCTCGCTATGATGTATAGTGCACCCAACAGGTTGTAAAATCGCGCGAAGTTTAAATTTATAAAATAATATTCCTTGCAGGAAAATACGTTACGAATTTACAAACAATCATCATGGCATCGAGTAATATTATTATTGAGTACTTTAAATGTTTTATTTTGTCTATTCATGCCTTGGATATCGTTTTAGAAAGGAAAAACTCGGTTCGCGCTGATTCTTGTTTGTTGACACTAGTACGTCATGCAGTCGCCTTTTAGAACGCGGTACGGCGGCGTATCTCGGACTAGAAACGTCGATTAAACACATCTACACTAAATAAACACACGTGTTACTCGCTTTATGCGATATTGTGAGGTGTTGACACTTTAGAACATAATAATAAACAACAGTGCAGTGAACTAACAAAAAGAGCGGGCAAAATCAGTGCAAGTGACGATAAAACATTCTATTTATAGATTGCCTATGGCGCGATAATATTATTCGTTGCTACAGGTACTAACACGCCGTATTAACTTTGGTAAAAACTATATACTCAGAAACACCTAATTCGTTTGTAAGCCGACATTTTCGCTCTTATATTTTTAAGGAAAACAGCGGCATAAACTTGTCTGACAGCTCACACACATAAACAAGATACACAGATTGCAGTGCGCATGTTTGCGTGAACGAGTGATGTAAAATTCTTGCGCTTATCGATTAGTTAGATAATTTCAAGGACTTTGATACATCTTGTACGAATGCAATAAAACAATATAAAACTTTATTCAAAATGGAGATGTCTATCAAGGAAAATCCGATGCCGAGAAGCGATTCGACCAGTTCGAACCAACTTTTTATTGCTGAGAATTTAGATTTGCCCGACGATACTTTTCGTATGAGTTTAGATTATTTGACTGAAATTGGAGAAAATGTTACAATAGGGGGCAGGGACACGTCAATAGATAGCGTAAGCGTTAAACACGATTCTAACACTGCAAAGACACCTTCAATGCCTATAACTCCTACATCTTCGACTCACAAATCACCGGTCCTTGAATCTCCACTTTTACCCACTGAGAATCAATCATGCGAAACGCCAAAGCTTCTAGACGAACTAAAAGATTGTAAACAAATCAATCTATTGAAGCAATCACTCGTAAAAAAAAGAAAACGATGGTTTCGTAAGGCCATCGCCAGTGGCGGAATTAATGTCGCCAGCTAAGATGCTACAATTCGAAATTGACGTTAGAAGCAGCGCAACCCCTACTATGAAGCGGGCAGCGATCGACTTCAATTTCTTCAACGATCATAAATTCGAAGAGTACTTCAAAGACGACAATAATTCTGATGAAAAGGAAACTGGCGTGGCGTACAAAGAGACGCCGGTTATAGTGAAGGCTAGCACCATTCGACACGAAATAGGCTACGGTGAGTACACTAATTGTTTGGTAACGTTTCTACACTGTAATATGACATGTACTCAATCACGTTGTATTGTTGATTTATTTTGTGTTTTGCTTTAGGGCTATGGAATATTTCAATACTCACCAACCTTCGTTAATAAGTCGGTCACAATATCATGTGTACCACTTTGGAAATGGTCGGGAAACAAGGTTTTATCAGGTATCAAACAGAAGATATAGTGACCGAGTAGTCAGAGACAATCGATCTCTATAATGAGTTCGCAATGGGAAGAATCGCCATTGGAAATTACTGCGTAAGGGCCCCAGCACTAACTCAGAATTGAATTTTTTTTATAGATATAGATTGTAAATACCGTCGCCACGAATGAAAGTAGGTTACAACAATCCGATATTTGTGTTGTGTTATCAACTGCAACTATTACTTCAGTATTTTATGGTAATATAAGGTAAAAATTGTAAGAATAATAGTCACGTAATGAACAATATAATAGAAAAAAAACGTGATCAACGAAAAGTAAAAGAGTATCTTTATTACAATGCCTCCAATCTATTGCAGCTCTGTGTGTTATATCTAATATTGTTAATTTGAATTTAAGGATAAATTAGATGTCATAGACAAAAACACTTGTCTTTTATCCCTGTGGCTGAGTAGGTACTAAAGCAGGCATCATTCCCCCGCAATTGTAATACTTAGACACTGCATAGAATGTTTCAGCTTTAAAAAAAATTAGTTGGGAGCGTTCAAGTATTACGTAACGCGTTTTGGGAGGGGGGTCCTTTTATAAAACGTTACGATGCGGGGCGGGGATTGAATTACGCGTTATTGTCAATATTATTTTCGACTTACACCACATAAAAGTAAGTAACTAAAGAGACACAAGGTGGTCACGAAACGTTTTACTATACTTGAGTACAGTACTGTACTAGGGTACTAAAAAACGTCAATAATCTCCAAAAATTGCGTTACGTAATACTTGAACGCTCCCGTTTTTATAAAAATGCTTCCTTATAATACCTGTGTGATTAAATTAAATTAAAGTAATTTACTTTAATTGTCTTTGGTATCACCTTGAAATTGAGTTTTCTTTCTTTTGGTGGGTCTCTATTACTGGAGGTTGGTCAGTCTCGTGAAGCTTGACTTGTCTGTGCCAGATGTAACAACTGTGAGTGATACCAACTTGGGGGGTTTGCCCCCAAATTTAGGGGGAATCAACATAGGGTTTTTTTTATTCAAGACGAAAGCAAAAAACCATTTCATATTAAGCCTCGATCCCAACCAACAATTTAAACCAAATATAAACCCCAAGATATTACGAGTACCTATACTTCAAAATCAAAATAACAGGTCTATTTATATTCTACTTTTAATGCATATTTTAAATTAACTCTCAAACCTAGTGTAGGTACAATAACTCTAAGGGTATTTAATCGATATTTAGGGCTATTTGAATTTGGACCTAGGGGGAACATTATGGAGGAGTTGGTCATAACAACAAGGCAGAAAGACCCGTTCTCTAAAAAATGAGCAAGAACTACAGCCAAAAAAAAAATTGCCTCCAAAAAATCTGCCACTACGGTCAATCCCTATCAATATTACCACATTTCGAACCTATCGAATCAAATTATATTGATTTTTAACCTACTATGTCCGTAAGCTATTATTTTAGTATTAAAATTAATTCTATACTAGAATTATTAAGAAGAATGAACTATGATTCTGTTCACAAGAATATTCCCGTAATTTTCCAAAGACAGTGTAACTAGGTACTATGTTTATTGTTTATGCCAAAATCTATAGTGTATAAGTGGCTTACCGAAGCGCAAAAAGAGTAAAAATTTCAAGTTATTCCTGATTATATTTAATAACGTTTTGTTATTGGTAATAAAGACATCTATTCAATTTTTTTATAGACCATTACAAGTAGATAATACATAACTATAACCTTATCTTTATTTATATTAGCTGACAATGAAATGAACTACCTTGTTTATCGTAAATACAATTGCTATGACCTTAAATGACAAATAAATGCTAAAAACCCTCCCGCGTACTTATGTATGTTCACATAATTATTTCCGAGATTTAATGTTTAAAGAGCTCGACGACTATAACAGTTTATTAATACAATAATACTAAACAATAACATATGTACATTATAACTACTAAAAATATATTATATCTAGTCAGCGGAACTGAGGAAACGGTTTACCAAAATCTTGCAGTGACTGACTGCTGATGAAGGAGATTTCGTGAGCTACACTCAAACAGGGCTTCCGGGATCTTAAATACTTTATCTATTTTTAATTTCGTTCGAATTCTTAGCGAATATAACCGAACTAGCAGCCCGTCCCGGCTTCGCTCGGGTGCACATTTATTTTTTTTTTTTAAATTTTGTAGATATTGATATGTTCTTTAATATTGTGGAACATTTTTTTGTTCTATCATCAATAGTTTTCGCAGCGCATGCGATGAAAGATATTGTTTAGGATTTTTTTTCCACCTTGGGTACCATTATTGTAGTTTTAGTAGGGATCCTTGATTTTTTTTTTGGAATTAAAATAACCTATATTAATCAGTGATAATGTAGCATTCAAATGGTGAAAGAATTTTTAAAATCGGTCCAGTACTTTTTGAGCCAATTCGTTACAAACATACAAATCTTTCCTCTTTATAATATTAGTCTAAATAAACACTACTTATCCAAAACTTTATATATTCGGTAGTGGGATCAGTCCACTTTAAAAAAGCATTGTAAAGTGCCTATCCGATACCTAATCCGCAGTTTTGCTAGTACATATTTTGTTAAAATTACGAGTAAATTTTTTTAGTTTATCAAAAACAAAAAAAGTGTAATAATGGTTTTGTTGTATTGTATTTTTGTAATATTAATGTTTACCATAATTCATAATTGTCATATGTTTTAGAGAAGATAACATATATTGTAATTTGTAGATATATGCTATGGTGAACTTTAATAAATAAAAAGTACGTATTTTAAAAACAAAATAAAAATCTCCTAACCACTCTGAAACTTATGTCCAACTGTTTAAAAAAACAACATTCCTCCCTCAAAGACCGGCAACGCTTCCACTAAAATGGGTGCCCATGGGCTCCGACGATTGCCCTCTTTGGGCGTCCTATAGGGTCGTTTGCACCAGCTCTCATTACAGTTCTACTTGGACCACGCTCCTCCCCAGGATAGGGGAGACATAAATACCACGGCCCACTTACGAATTTGTATGGCAATAAACGTAGCTCGTTTGATATTTCCAATGTCCAATCTCAATTATATTTTTATGACGTTAGCTTGTCTCGCCGGCAATTATTTTTGGCCCGTCTAGCAAGACAACACAACCGATGATAGACATACGGTTTTGTGTATTACCACTATCACTGACAAGTATCAACTATCTTACACTTAAAATCTCACGAATTAGATTTGTACCTCAGAATTGAGACTTAATATAAAAAAACTAAGGCGTAAGCTATTTCTTGGTGACACTAATTCCAAGGAGGTTTATATACAGTATCTAAACTTAAATTAACGCGTAGTTCACGTCTTCAGACGCTAATCGAGAATAGGAAGAATCCCCTATAAGCATTGAATATATCGTAACAAGGTCTAAACCTTGACCGGAATAGACTCGGTCCTACATACATAATCTATGCTAACTACCTTTATTCATGCATTGCATTTTGTACCATTGCTATATACTCCACGGCTAATTTCCTATTTAAGATTCGCTTCCCGGGAGAATTTTATGTTGGTATCTTTATTTTTAGCGAAGCATATGGGTTTACCCAATAGCTAATCTTTGGGTTATTTCAATTTATTATTATATCTTGTAGAGTCTGCTAACTCATAACCCAACTTCAGCTGCACCAATTTGATGTTGATGAAGATGTTTTACAATGTCTGCAAAATACCGTGAGAAAACCGGTGTACCCTAAAATGGACAGCGTGCGTCAAGGCCGATGATGTACTGGACAAGAGAAAGCAATGTGACAGCATTTTTCGCTAAACAAACAAACATTGTGAAATCATTAATTAGTTTGCGATACTTACAAAATTGTTTTTTTGTATTTTAGAAGTCATTACTTAATATGATAAGCTTAATTAATGAAGTCATTTGTACTCCTGCTAATTTAATATCCTGTCCTCGATATTCAATTTTATCGATATGACCAAAGGTCGGGCCTATCGAATCAAATTATATTGATTTTTGACCTACTATGCACGTAATGTAAGCTATTATTTACGCATTTAGTATTAAAATTAATTAGATACAAGATACCATTACAGAACTTCCACGTAATATATTTAACTATGAATCTGTACACTAGAACCTACCCGTAATATTCCAAAGACAATGTAATTACTATGTTTATTGTTTAATGTTTATGCCAATATCTATATTGTATAAGTGGCTTATCGAAGCGTTAAAGGGTAACAATTTCATGTTATTCCTGATTAGGTATATTTGTTATGTTATTGGTAATAAGGGCATCTTTTAAATTTTCGTTATTTATTTTCTTTTGTTTTAATGTTTGTTTGTGCGGTAAAAACATTATTTTCCAAATGTAAAATTCCCAGGTGGTCATCAGATCTCCCTGATGATAGTATCTGAGTAGTACTTGATATAGTATGATGGATAATGTTTAAAATATGTAGTTCTTAAAATTATTATTTCTTTCTTTAATTTGTTACAGGCCTTTTAGCATAATTTCGTGAAGTCAAACTGTGGTCAAAGACAGACAGTAGAAACCCTTTTTTTAGTTAGATCTACTGTTTTATTCTATTTTAAGACAAATATTGTAATTATTATAAATAGCCCGATACAACTATTAACTATTTGGTATTAAAAATACTCTTTACAACATAGAACTAGAAGTACCTGATTACAAACCTCCCCGGAAATTCATTAGAGACAGCAGAATTAGGGTGAATAATTATTTCAGAGACAATGTACCTAACTCGTAAAACTATAATCCTCATTGCCTTTACAAAAAATTACGATAATCCTTTAAAAGCTTCCCGATGCGTAAAAACGGTAAACGTTTTTTTAAACATTTTATTTATATTACATTCCAAAACGTTTGTATAATCTTTGGTAATTTCTTATATGAGATATTATATAATTACCTTAACAATTACTTGTTTATTATTAATAACTTACTTTAGTTAGAGTATTTAAATGGATATTTGGTTTGCTTGTTTTAAAGTATTACAATGAATACAGAATAAATATTAAATTCATTACTATCACCGAATTGCTTGATTTATTTTCGTTCGTTTACACAAAATAAATTTCTGAACGCATGCATAAGTATTTGACAACACAATATATGCCAATTTTTTTTTCATTAGTCATTACTGACATTTAAAAAATCTAAAATACGCGTAGATAGAGTATAGATTATAGAACCATACAATACCAAAGTCCGTCTACGAAAATACGCCATTATCCGAATATTGTGGATATATCTTGTCGATTCAAAACCATTATTTAAATACGTTCTTTAGTTTGAGGGGAGAGTTTACCATATCAACGGGGTGAACATTAAATGTGTGTCAGTTAAGAAACCCATGAACATTTTGTATTGTGTTTTTTCTTTATCGTTCTGTTCTCAGGTTAAATTAATATTATTTAACTTACTTTGTCATCATTTATATGATGAACCATATAAGCAAATCAATAACCATGAAAATCGGTCCAGCAGTTCTCGAGTTATAAGTATTCGAACAAACCCGTCTGTTATAATACTATTAAAATAATTTTAATAAATTATTACGATCTTACAAAAAATATTCAGCAGAAGCATTCGGAAATAAATCCATACATTGCACATAACAAAAAAATTATGTAAATGTGTATTGTCTAAAAATAAATCTAAAACGAATGAAACACTGACATACAAGCAATAACTAAATTACTATATGCAACTATTAGCGAAAGTTACGAAACTACTGTATTTACGGGAGAAAACAGGTTGATTAACCGTAGTCTATCACATTCAGGTCAACGGCATCCGTGATTAAAATTAATCTATTTTTTTTCTCCCAATGTCAAATTTGTAACCAGAAACCAAATATATTTAATGAACGTTTTACAGTGTACACATTTGCATAATCAAATTTCAACTAAAATACTTAGAAAAATGTATTAGGCTAATAAGCTTAGATTATGTTAAAAGTAGTTACACCTTCGAGTTAAACTTAAATCCAACAGTAACTAATAACTGTATTAGTGCAAAAATACTGGCGAAAAGGCTTGTATCGAATTGTTTCACAAGCTGCCGAAGCTTCCCTTTTTTAAATTCGAACGTATTAATGAAAGAGATAGAAATAGTTTCTTAGCTACTTTTCTCATTTCGACACGCTCTTACCTGGTCTATCCCTTTCTGCACTATGTATAAGCAATATCGCTGTCTCGTTTTGTTTACTTCGACGGTACGCTTATAAGGTAGTATAAGGAAAAGTTTAAGATGTTCAAATGATCAATCCCAGATGTTACATTGTATAGTTGTAATTTACATACTCATTTGTTATAGATTTATTTAAATTACTAAAAATAGGTTTTTGAAGTGAAACTTCTTTAGGTACATGAGGGTAAAATTAAAAAAAAAAACGTCACGAAGATGTGCAGCGTTTTTGTCGAAGAATGGGGAGAGAGCGATTGAGACCGATTGATTGAGAGAGGTGAATTACTTTATAGAAATTCTATTTTTAAAATTAAAATTTGGTAAAGAGAATTTATGAAATGGTGGTATTTTATATTTTATGCAAAATAATTTATTGAAATCTCAACTATGACGAATTGTAAATTATAATGCCACGTGTTTTTATTATAGAAGAAGAAAAAAAAAATATTATTTGTATTAATTTTCAACACTTTTATTATTTTAATGATAATTAAATTCCTAATATATCTTCCTTTTTCCCTCCCTCTAAGTCTCGGAAATATAAAGTTTTAGATTTGTATAAATATAAACAAGAGTTAAAAATTAGTTTGCTAAAGAAGTTTCGCTTCTGACATATGTATTTTGTACGCACGTACTTTTTTATAGTCATCAAGTATTTCTTGCTACTATTTTAATTCATTGTCGCAAAAACATAGTTTAACAATATTGGCAGCATATTTTAGATATTATACTACATTACATGCGTTGTTAATTGTGCAAACTTTTAGTTAAAATAGCGCTAAAGTTACAGTCTAGTCTTTAGTTGTTAATTTTGTTAAATAATATAAAGTTCTGAGAATATTTCTATCTCGGCAATTAAAACTAAGTTAATACCACTTTAATTTTTGTCCTGCGATTTCTTTTTTTTATTAAATGAAATGATACTACGATTTTTTGGAAGTCGGTCAATAAGTGACATTGACATGTGGTACATCTGAGAATTTTTCATATACTATGTGTCCTCGTAAATCGTAGCGTAGAGGGGGAAGCACCTCTCGGCTCTCGCACGGTTTCTATTTTGCGTTTCTCGAATTCAATTCAGTTTTGGTCGCGCTGTGTGCTGTGTTGTCCGCGCGATTTTTTTTAGTTTATTGTTCACTAGTGGTTAGGGTAGATTTTTTAGAAGACAAACAGATTTAGACATAGTGAAAGCTTTTAACGAATTCTGTGAAGTGTCAAACGAATTTTGTGTAGTGCCGCTGCAACTGGATATCCGAAACGATAATAAGTGGCTGTGATTTTTGGAGAGATTTTGTGACAGTTGAATCAAAACGAGAGCTAGTGATTTACCGTAACAATCGCGTAGGTTCGTTAATATACTTGGTGAATTAGTGGGGAATGATATTTTTATTTGGTCGGGTAATGCATCAAAGCGCCCTCTAACGACTATTTATACTCGATGCTTTGAGTATGATTGCAATTTGTTCTTGTTTACTTGAGCTTGATACAAAATAATATACAAAACTAAGAGGTTACGTGCCTTTATGTTATCATAGTCATGGCGACAGCCGAAATGAATCTGCCGGATAAAAAGCCTGAGCACGAATCGGGATATTACGAAGGAAGTGATCAGGAAGGCAGCATGGACTGTGCTTGCCCTTCACCCATTAGCTCAAGGAATTCATCGCATTCAGCAAAGCTCAAACACAGACACAGTGCACATAATCATAAGAAAACACCTGTCAAAAAGTCCAGGATTGAACCAGTTAATGGTCATGCAAAAGACAAGAGTGTTGAAATTGTTGAGGTCTCTGTCAATAAAGTTGAGGAACCGGTACCTGGTCCAAGTAAGCGTAGCAGCTCTGTGGAGCTCATTGGTGGAGTTGTACCACCACCAGCGAGGGATTCAATTGATTGGAATTTAGTGGAGGCTAGTAAAATTAGGAAAAAGAATAAAGGTGAGTAAATTTCAAATGTAAACAAGTCTGTTTTGACTTTTCCTAATTCTTTTCCGGAACAAACTTAGTGGACAGATGATTCTCTAAAATAAGTACATTATTTTCTAGATTGTTTGTTTTTATTTGTAGGTTCTATATTTCAGTGTGCGAATAGTAAACATACTTAAACAAATACACATTCCTCGTGTATTTGTTACACAATGCATTACTTTAAATTACATATTTAAAAAAATCTTTGTTTTAACAAGGATCCTACCCCTAAACTTACATTTGAAAATACATAACTAAATATCAGTTTCAATACCAGGTCATATGATCAAGTTATAAAGTTGGTCATTAATAACCAAGAAAAAACCAAATAGTTATTTACTGTGAATTAACCTGCATATAGTTGGGGCAGATATGTTTAATATAAAGTTTAGGGGACTTTATTAGGTCAACATATAAAAAGTTGCTTATTAAATGTACTTCTACTCAGTTTCTTATTTTGTTAAGTACTTCATAGTAAAATGCTTATATATTGAACTAGTTTAAATAATCATTAATTATGTTTATACATTTCCTTTTTTAAGTGTTAAAATTTTTTGTAAAGTTTTGTAATAGCCTTATAGAATTAGTTGCATCATGTAATTACCTAATAATGAGTGACATGTTAAGACAGGACACCTTGTACAAAGGAATAATAGAAACCTGGAAACCAAAAGTATTTTTAAGTTACTGTATATTAACATTCATGGCTATTGGTCTAATAATTTATTTTGTATGAGTCACACTAAGTCATTGTTACCTTTTAATTTGAGGTCAAAGACGGCAAAAGTTTAGTGTTGTTATTTATATTGGTTTATTGTTTCTCTCATTTTTTCTCGTTAATAAATCTATTTATAATGATAATCTTAACTCTACCATATTTATTGTATATATCTTGTTATAACTTGAATAATTGGTTGCTTATAAATGTAGGCAAATTAGTAGATCTTGTAATATATATCTCTATCTCTGTCTTAAGTAATATGTTTACATAAATACATATACACACTTAATTTACACACACATCTTTCAGAATGAATGTCATAGAACAACCATAAAAGTTTGGTTTACAAGAGTTTTTAATATTATTTACAGATTTATTAAAATAGGAAACTGTGAATTTCTTGACACCATTTTATTCTATTTAATCTAAGAGCAATGGATTTTTATTAAAATAAATAAAGTTGGCCAAAAATGACTGATTGATTTTTACATTAATAACTAAGATGAAATATAAGTTTTAGGTTATTTCCGTAATTATCGATGTTAAGTACTAAATAATTAAAAGTAACATAATAATTATAATATTAATTTAAAGTACATTTAAATGTATACATTAGTGTACCATGTTTGTTTTATTTTCTCATTAAATCTGATGAAATAATATGTTTAACAATTACCAAATGTTAGTATAAGTATAGCAATTATGTTCCTTAGTCTTTATCAAAATAGGAAATTATGATAAAAATACTTTATGTACTGAATATGATAATTGACGAAGAAGAATTGTTGCGAAGGCTTAAAACCTTCATGCAGTTATCACTAGTTGAATGTCAATGTAGGCTGCATAAACTGGGTTTTATGGACACCGTAGGCATGTTTGCCTCCCCATATCCTATAAAATAAAACACAACTGTTTTAAAAAGGGCAAACATATTTAAAATAAAAACACTTCCTAGTCATTATAACATTGTAATCTGTATTATATTTGAATAAATAAAAATCCTTTGTTTTGTTTAGTTACTACTTATTTACAATCATTGCTTGATTGTCTTCATGCTAATATGTTATCATTGCCTGATAGTGGTTATGACAAAGCAATTAATTGTCATATTGCCTATATTACTTATTTAGAAATTTGACCTAGGTTGATAAATTGATAAGGTAACCACACTTTGATTTTGTTTATAGCCATTAAGATTCATTAAGAGTAGAGTTATAAATTAAAAAATTAATACAAAGATTATTTACGCATATTTTAAAGGGATTATTCTGAAGATGAAATATTAAGTTATTGGTAGTACATATATGACACAAGTGAAAATCTTCCTTACTAAACTGTAAAACTAATAAAGTATACTTTAAAAGCTAACACAAGTATGCAGATACAAAATATGCACATAGTTATGCAGTAACTATAAATTAGATTTAAATATGAAATATAAAAAAACTATCAAACAACAATTATATGTATATTAAGAAGTTAAACAATCGCTTACAAATTGATTCTTGTATTATACTTCCACAGTAGTAACATAAAGATATATCTAGTGTGCCAATAGCAATCATCTCGCTATCCATAAGCATAAGTGATATGATTTCCCATCAAATCCCAATTTGTGAAATTTCAAGGTTTTTATGTTAAGTGAAAGTAAAGCTATTCATTAAAGATATTGATCGAAATCACTCTCGATAATTTGGACACACGATTGACCTCAAACATGTATGTACGTATTTTCTACTTAATAATAATGAGGTTTTACTTAGTGGGTTATGTGCCCTTGGCTAAATGGAGTAGCGTAGTCTATTAACCTAATAATTTGCTTATATTGGTTATAATATACTATAGGTTATCATTTACTAAGCGTAAAAGTGATGTCAAAGAATTATTGATACTTTGTTTATCATATTATATATTATATACGTATGCTCTTAATGAGGGTTAAGTTTATATTTAGTTCTTTTTAAAGTAATTATTTGTATATATTTTTATAACTCGAGAACATAAAAACATTCAATATAAAATGACAAAGAAAAAAAATCCAATATAAAATGCTTTAATATTTATCCCGTTGATACGGGAATCAATCCCCTCAAATTAAAGAAAATATAATAATAAAGGTATTTAATTGACAAGGTATATCGACGTATTAAATGTCAGTAATTAAAAATGTCAAATTTGTTGTCAAATATTTATGCGTACGTTCAGATATTTATTTTGTGTAAACAAAGGAAAATAAATTAATCTACAACAAATCAAGTCACAATGTAATATGAGTATTGCAATTCGGTGAAAGTATTAAATTTTATATTTATTCTGTATTCATTGTACTACTTTTTAAATCATAAATTAAGTTCAGCTAATCTGTAACACGACATTAATTGACTGTTAGGCGGTACGAAGTTCGCCGGGTCAGCCAGTAAATCTATATTTTAAATATAGTTGTTTAGGCAAGTAGGAAATATTTAAAGCTTCTTTGTCGGATGTAACTACAATAATATATATTTCGCTGACAAGTGCTCGGAACGTCGAATTGTGTAAATAATAAATTCGCGTTTACATCCGTTACAGATTTATTTAAACATACATTCATGTACTGAATTTCGGCGGTTTACAAGTCCAAAAGGAACTTCAATTTTATTGCACCCATTGTTTTGAGATTAGTGCGATAAACTAGGCCTTGTTTTTTGCAATTTTGTAATATTTCTATTGGCTTGGGTATTGTCGGTGAAACAAAAGGGATTTTGATTTGAGCTTTAGAAATAGGAATGAGTCTCATTACAAGCCTGTTACTTGAAGGTGTAACGTCATAACGTTTGATAATAATACGTTTTACCTTTTACTCAATAATGGAAGTTAATAAATCGAAGTTCTACGCGTATGGTAATAACTTTATTATTTCCTTGCGTTTCGTACGTAATGCAAACGTCATACGTATTTACTACAGACCTTTTGACGTATAAAGTTTCTGCTTTATTTATAGATTCGCCCATGTTGATAATAGCTTATGATTTTTTAAGGTAATTGAGTGAGTGAAAGGTGAATTTATAGGTGTTTATTTTATGATTTTTGCAGTAACTTTTGTGACACGAAAAGTGTCTAATTTGTAATTTCAAATTCAGATTGTTTTCGAATTCTATTCAAATTTTTTAGATTCGGTTCGATTTGTCTCTCATTTTTAGTGTGAATGATATTTAAATATTCTACACGTAAATGAGAAGGTGTATTGTGTTTATTAAACATTTTAGGAATTCTTCAAGATCGTTGGTTTTTGTTATAAAATAAAAAATAACATTGAGTCGACTTACAAATACTAGTATCGAGTTCAAGGGACCGTTGACTTTGTCGTTGTATAAATACTATTATTATGTAAATAATTAATATTTCTGTTTTGTAAATTACTTTGGAGATAGATTTTTTGTGTAGCAGTTGTCCACGATGCATTTATCAAATTTTAACTAAACCATATAAAGGTATATTTCCTATATTACGTCGTTAAAAAGTAAAGTCATCATACATTTAAATAGAAAATTGAATGTTACCTAAACGTGACAAAACTGATTTTCGGAGCAGATAAATTCGATTTAAATATTTAGTATTAACTTAACTTTTGGATTGACTAACTTAAATTCCTATGTCCCCACTTGGGGACAGTTAGTCAAGTCAAGTTAGTCTCTCCATATTATTGGATTAAAGATACGATAATTTCAAAGTAAATTAAATTCGTATCTTAAAATCAACACTGCTTCGGAGGCTTTATTTGCTGTTTAAATAAAACAATAGTTTTATAGTGTTTTTTTGTTGTTGCAGTTAATCTTAACGGTGCTTCAAAAGTGGACATATCACACTTCGATCTCCTCAAAGTACTCGGCACTGGAGGTGAGTTCATATTTAGTTTAATTGACATATGATATAACAAAGTGTATCAGAATAATATTCATTATTCATAAACATATTATATGCCTTTATACACAGACATTTTCTTAACATATAGTGCGTTTTTGGATGGCTGTTATCGTTGTTTTGAAAAGCTTTTTTGAAAAAGTCCAATTGGTTTAACTTATTTTACTATAGTAATACATTTAATATTAACAGGAATTAAATGTAATTATTTCCCTGTGTAAATCGTTCGTTAATCGAAACTTATACAGAATTATTTTTTTATTAAAAGTATTTAAATCTGGAGATTGAGATTTATGACAAAAATTGAATTTGATTTCTTATGAAATATCCCATCTCATGTAACATCGACTAAAAAGATACAATTGCCATAGATAAAAACCGTTCCCCACTATCCCTATAAAGCGATATGGGTTTAATGACAACCACGTGGTGGGTCAGTGACCGTACCATCTGCACTCCACAATGCACATCGCCCCATTTTGAACTTAACCTAACATTAACATTTCTAACCTATGTTCCTAATACAGTGCATATATGTTACACATGGCGTTTCATTCCTGGGATCAATTCCCGAAGACTAGTCTATGAAGACTGGGAGGGATTATTAGAAATTTAAACGCAGTAATGTGCCCAACACCCAAATGAAAAAAAAAAACTTTTGATACATTTTTTAGCGTAGCTTCAAGATCCGAGGTTCGAACACATTTAAAACAAAATTATTTGTGTTTAATGCGTCCTTAAGGGTTGATTTAGCTGAACGTTAAGGGAATTTTCTGTTTTATATATATTTGCGACATAAATCCTTGTAAATATGAAAACAAAGCATTTTCAAACTTTCCTTGTTTAGACTATTTCTTAACTCTTGTTCGTAGGCTTTCCCTAACGTGCGTTGGGGTCACGTTCAATTTACTGATGGTTTATAAATAGAAATATAATTGCTTTGTTAAAAACACGAAAAATTATGAATATTTTCATTCAACGCTCATAATTTTCATTTGCTTTCAACAGTGCAAGTAGAAAAATATAAACAATCTACCTTGATATATACGCGAGTTGATTGCCTTATTTTCATAACTTATATATATTATTTATTTATTTATAAGTAATTTTACAGCTACACATATCAATATTATAAAAGAAAACACTTAGACAATATACAAAGCCAAAACAGATTACGTTGATAAACAAAATATATGAAACAGAAAACATAAGTCAAATTAGTTAATTAATAGATAAATGAAAATAAATATTAAAAAAACGAGAATTTAATAATTTAAATAAATTGTTACTTCTGCTAGATAAAGTCAATGTCCTCTCGCTTCTTAAAATATTTCCTCACATCCTCTTGGGTGAGGTGGAAAATGTCAATGTCACAAATTGGGTTATTAGATAGCTCAAACCCGAAACATTGGCGAATTACGCAGATAATTCTTGTCGCATACGGGGAATAACATAACAACAATTATTACTTACGAAACACACACAGAAATACAAAACAGTAATAAGAATAATCAAAGAAAGAAAAATAACAACAATTATGAAAAGAAAAAAAGAGGTATAAGGGAAATTTTAAGTATGTTATGTGTGCGTGCTGTAGTAGTAAGTGGCCCTGGCTCAGCCTTATGCTGTGGAGCAGACGTGTTCCACGGCGCTGGTCATTCTGCCAGAGACAACAACAGTTAGTTTGCGCCTCAGACGCAAAAAATAAAAGTAATGTAATAATAATAATAGTTTAAAAAAATAATATTAAACTTAAGAGTATAAGTAAACTCTTGAACCGTGGAATCTTTAAAATTTATATTTTGAATGAATTAATTGTCATGTCTAATAGTCTGCGGACATGCGTCGAAAGTATTTATAATTTTAAACAGGACCAGTCATTTACTATTACAAGTATATAGCTTCAGTCACGATGCTTGGTCATACATTACGTACGCAGGCTAACGTAAAACGTGGTCATACACGTTCTTGTTAAATCCTACGGCTAGACCGCATCACGTTAGGTTGTAATGTGAGGCGATATTGATATTTCTTGATTCTAGCTTAGTTTATATTTAATTCTCGATCAGCAGCGTGCATTTAATCAAACATTTTCTCACCTACATTGCAATTATAATATTTAAAAATAGATCAGTGGCGCTACAACCTTTTAGGTCTGGGCCTAAGATTTCTGTAACTGTTTCATTATCATTTGTCAATCTAATAGGCATGTAGGTGATCAGCCTCCTGTGTCTGACGACGTCGACTTCTTCGGTCTAAGGCAAGCCGGTTTCCTCACGATGTTTTCCTTCAGCGTTCGAGCGAATGTCAAATGCGCTCATAGAAAGAAAGTCCATTGGTGCACAGCCGGGGATGGAACCTACGACTGCAGGGATGACATTGCTCTCAATTATAACTTTAGATATTAAAATAACCATAGTTTACGAATTTGCTCTTACGTAGAGTTGGCTGCGTGATTTTTTATTCATTTATTATGCGTGGTTGCGATCATAACAGTAAATAACGATTGCAAAAAGTCGTGCGTAATTATCATAGCGAAATAGTTCCGCTATGAAGGGTTATAAGCGAATGACCATAAGGGTACTTGTTATGTGTGAACAACGGACAATTCTTTGTTACAATGTGTATAAATATTATATTTGATATTTTTATTTATCGTTTTTAAAAACCAATATCTGTTGTCCTATCGTAGTAAATGATTTGAGATTTGGAATATGTCTGATAGATTTTTAAAGGAACTTAATTATACCTAAAAGTATATTGTACTATAAATAATGGAATTGCTTATGAATGTCGAGAGATTATAATTTTTATACAGAAATACGTAATAGTATATAACTCAAACTACCTAATAGTAGAGCACATCTTCACTTTCACACCACAGACAGCACAGCCGAATTGGGTATTACGTATTTAATATATTTTCCTTTCGTAAATATTGGGAGCTTTTAGTATACTCGTATATTATATTGTATTCCATCTTTGGATTATATGTTTAGTTTTGTATGTTATTTATCAGCGTTGCCAGATTTCTTTTTAGTCAAGTCGGGATTTTGGCACTTTTAAAGTGAAAAAAACGGGATTCATTTGTCGAAAGCGGGACATATTAAAAAAAAATCAGAAGTTTTTAAATATTTATGTTTTTAATTGAGTTCAAATCACGTTTGCGTGACAATAGACAACGAAAATAGTCACAGAAAATGTATTTAAATCAGATTAAACCTATCGTTAAATAGTTCTTATTCATCTTCTGATTAAAAAACAAAAAAATCAAAATAAAAAAAGTTTTATTTATTAGAAAAATATGGCGTCTCAAACAATACTCTGAAGAGTGAGTGTTTTAAATTACAACTTACAATAAGACAGTAATAATTATTTATAAGAATTACTTATTCATAATATTTCTATGAAGATATAACTTCTTTAAAAGTTTCATTTTTCTCTTTAAAAAAGACGAAGAACTCTTCTAGCTGCAGATTAAACTTGATGAGTAACTCTGATTTCATTAAATTAAAGCATTTCAAAATGAAAGGCGTTTTGGAAAGCAGTTTGATGGTAGGATACTTAATATAAAGTTTGAAGATAATCCTGGTATTTTTTTTTGGATACTGTTGAAAGAGTTGGTTCCATAATCCATTATTGTGCGGTGGTGGTAGTTCACACTTCTTATTGCTATCGAGTTATTCCCGAAAAGCGGGACTAAGCCTGTCCCGCGCGGGACATTTCATTTTGATTTTATAATCGGGACGTCCCGCCAAAATCGGGACGTCTGGCAACGCTGTTATTTATGTTAGCTGTAGGGTTACAATAAATAATAATTTAAAGTGTTTCAGTTACGCAATATTATTTAATAATAAAATAAATGACAATAACAAAGAATTTCAAAGTAAATAAGCGCGGCGCTTACTTCCTTTTCACTTAAGCGTCAGATTGCGTAACCGTTTCAATAATTGCACTTAGCGTGTTTTGCGGAAGTGCAATCAGTTATGCAGTTTTGTACTTTATCAAAAAGGCGTTAGGTTTATATTGCAGTGTTATACGCAGCAACTGTAGTTCGTAGACTAGTTTATTTTTTTAAACTTGATGTAAAGGTCATGTTTTATTGTTCCTGTAAACATGTATTAACAGGTGCGTTTCACTGAGTAAAATCCCACGAAATCGAGGTTTTAATCAGTCCAAAAATATTGATTTATTAATAATATATAGTAGTTTTAGTAACAATTTTTTTTTATTTTTGTACTTTTAGACACAAATCTTCCAAGACTTCTTTACTTACACTATTAATTTTTATTATTATTATTAAATTATTTTTCTTTTTTTGCGTCTGAGGCGCAAACTAACTGTCGTGGTCTCTGGCAGAATGACCAGCGCTGTAACACGTCTGCTCCACAGCATAATGCTGCGCCAGGGCCAGTTACAACCACAACACACACATTACACACTCAAAATATACCTCGTTCCAAAAAAAAAAATTTTTGTTATTTTTCTTTATTTTTTTGTTAAAATAACAAAAAAATAAAGAGTTTCGTTAGTAATAAATGTTATGTCTTTGTCAGGTAAAATGCGAAGAAGCTAACCTAAGAAAGTTGGCAATAGAGATACTATATTACGTGTGTATTCAATAGTATGATATTTATAGTTGTATTAAAAGTGAGTGAATTTTTTACCTTACAATGTTTATTTTAAAGTATAATGTACATTAATTTCTAACCCTTAAAATTAATAGAAATTCTTAAATTTTTTACATTAAATGTACCATTTGCTAAACATATTTCTTCATTAATTACATTTATTAAGACCATAATTTCATCAAGTACGTCCCTCTCACGTAGTACAATCGCACTATCGCTGGGCAAACGTGACCTAAGTCCCGCACGTGCGCAGCCGCATTCACTGAACGTTTCACAAGTGATATTGAACGTTTTAAAAACAGGTATTTAATGTTTGCTTAAAGATATTTTACCATTTGAATGCAATGTTTTGTTTTTGGTTATTCACCATTTTATCT